GCCCGCCTCGGCCTCCCAGAGTGCCAGGATTACAGGCGTGAGCCACCACGCCTGGCCTTAACTCTTTCTTTTAAATGTTATTTTAAAAATTGGTTTTATGTGATATTCTCCTTTCTGCTAAGTAGCAATTTTTTAAAAAACTTGGTCTAAATGACTTTTAATCTTAAATGATCATTTGATGCTTTTTTCCTGAATTTAGAATTCAACTTACCAAATTTTGTAGTCGTTATTCCTAAATATCATCTCTTCTCATGTAAAGACTGGTTAAAAAAAACACATGGAGATAATTTCTTGGCCACCTTAATGTTTTCTTCTCAGAGGATTTCCTTTGTTTAACCTCAGAACTGGCATTTTTTTCTCTTTGAAGAGATTCAGGATGAATATTCCTTTAAGTTAAGTAGAAGCAGTGTAAAGCATTTCATTATCAGGAATTTGACTGGCTTAGAGTAAATTGCTGTTTCTAAGTGTCATTTCAGAAGATGAGTATTAGATGCCATATGAATATTTTTCATTAGAACTGGTTACTAACTACTACTTTAAGAAGTTTCCCAGTTCCAAACTTCAGCTGGCCTCTTGACATTGACTGTCTTACTTGGTTCTTAGATGATAAACACAACTGCCGTTTGTGCAGCTGTATTTACTGCTTAGCTACCTGTTAGCTTTTATGTGAGCAGGTGAAATACTCTCCTTAGTCTAATTGTTGAGTGTCCCTGTGAACAAGACACTGTGAGGGGAAACAAAAATGAATCAAACATGAATCCTGCGTGGGCTTTATTTAAACAGTTGGAGAATCAGAATTTGTGTGTAAATATATAATGGGGGTAGAAATTGACATGTGCCATGAATGGAAGGTAGAAAAAGCGTGTTGGGAACTCAGTAGTGGAGAAAGGAATTTCTTTCATCTTGGAATCAGAAGTAGCTTCAAGAAGCATTTCTTTTAACTTAGGAGTTTGAAAAGTGGATGAATTTCAACATGTGACAGCTGTAGGCAAGGCTGTGAGGGAACATAGCTCCAGTGCTACAGGGAAGTGTTTGGGGCAGACTATGAGGAAGGGAGCGGATAAGTACGGCTCTTTTTATGGAATAATGACCAAATTTATGTCCAGTCTTTCTTTAACTTAAAAGTTAAGACTGCTTAACTTCTTTTAGCCTTTAATCTTAAACTTTTAAAAGCCATTTGACCTTTAAAAATATCATATGCTTCAGTAGTAGTTTTCAAGTCTCTGTGTTTTTCTTACTAGAATATATAGAGGCTATAACTTACTACCCAGCATAACAGATGTCACTATGGAAAATAACCTTTCGAGAGTTATTGCAGCAGTTTCTCAGGAACTAATCACATCAACCACAAGAGCACTCACGGTAAGTCTCTTTCTCATTTGGTCTTAAGAAAATTCATTTTTACTAGTTTGTAAGGTCATTTAGTTGTATGGTCATCTTAATCGTGAGATGTTTGTATTAGAGATCTTATCTGTGGGACTTGCTAAGAGGTTGTGCTTCTGTGAACAGAATCCTCTTATTCTAACAGGAATGTAAGGAACTATTTTTTTTCTGATTATTAAAGTAATATATGCTTATGGTAAAAAAATATTCAGCCAATCTAGGAAGACATAAAAATGAAAATAAAATTACTGTAATCTGAATTGGTAATGTATCAGAAGTTTAAACTGCCTGTAGTATAATTGACTCAGTGGCTTTGAAATACATGCTAAGGGGGAAAAATCAGAAATGCCAGCAAAGATTTTCATAAAATGTAATTATCTATAAGAACCATAATGTCCAAGGATCCAAGGATGATTAAGTTCTGGACAGATGGTAGTATACAGTTAATATGCTTTGGTGAGTTTTTAATGATATGAAGACATATATAATCTGGATTATAATATTGAGTGAAAAAAGGCAGAATGCTTGTGTGGGGGTGTGTATAGTTAAATCTCAGTTAAGAAAAATAATATTCAGATACATAAATTTCTTACATACTCAGAAAAATGATTGGCAAAAAAGCATTGTGGATGATTTTTATTTCTTCTTTGTATTTTTCAGATATTCCCAAATTTTCTATAATGAACAAGTATAACTGTTATATTAGAAAAAAAGAATATTATACAAAATTTGTATTAATTTGCCAATTACCTGGTTAAACCTTTTTATTTATGTGACAAGAAAAACTTGTATGTTGTAGAAAATGCAAACAATTAAGATTAGGCTAAGTCTTGAGAAGTAAATAATTATTTTTCAAATCTAAATATTGTTTGGGCTGTCTATAGTATGGTCTTTCCTTGATTTGTTCATAATATCATGAACTTTGCTTGTTTATTTCTATTGTGGCCTACATGTGTCAGGCACTGTTGTGGGCATGGGCTATAAAAACAGATAGAATTCCTGCCCTTCTGGCTTCTGTAGTCTGGTCAGGGAGATGGGAATCTGCTAGAGCTGAGATCTTGAGGACACCTGAGGGAAACAGGGGATGGGGCTGGACTGTAGGGTGGGCAGCACAGCACAGGACAGTGACAGTTCCCGGGTGATCCCCTCTCCAGGCAGGAGGAGCTGCACTGCCTCTGGCCTCCCTTCCTTGGTATATAATGCTTGTAACATGAATTCCAGTCGTTTAGCTGTATCTTTTAAAGTATGAATTTGTATCATGGTGGGACAGATAGCCTATGGTTATCATTCACAGATCTAAATTTTCTTTTCATTGTTTGTACTTTTTAGAAGGGGTAAAAGGAGATTTTGTGGTGTTTGGATGTGATTTTGTTCTTCCTTTCTTCTGTAGTTTGGATGCTGTGAAGCTTTGTGTCTTCTTTCAACCGCCTTCCCAGTTTGCATTTGGAGTTTAGGTTGGCATTGTGGGTATGTATTTTCCTCAGTATATAACTGTCTACAACTATGTGGTACAAACATAAGTTACTGGAATCCCTTTTTCCCTTTCTGTTTAAGTCTTTTATCAGTTTGGCTTTTTGGAAAAGTACTCATGGAATGCTTGTTTCTGCCCTATTAGTTGTGTGAAAACTAGTGACAGGAACGGAGGAAATACTGAATTAGTTGTACTTCAGTGAATGCCACATGTCCTTAAGCATTTTTGGGGATTTGAGGGTGTGATCTATAGGTTCATTTAAGGGAATTTTCATATGCTGGCAAAAGGCTTTTCTAATTGGCTTCTTTCCACAATTATTCACTGTGTATTAAAAGTTTGGAAACATTTATTTGCTTGAAATCAAATGTGACCTAGCATATGAAGTGGTGATGAACTACAAGGGTGTGATTTAGCAACTATTATATTAACAGTTTTCATTTAAAAATGATTTTCCGGCCAGGCGCGGTGGCTCACGCCTGTAATCCTAGCTCTCTGGGAGGCCGAGGCGGGCGGATTGTTTGAGCTCAGGAGTTCGAAACCAGCCTGAGCAAGAGCGAGACCCCGTCTCTACTAAAAATGGAAAGAAATTAATCGGACAACTAAAAATATATAGAAAAATTAGCCGGGCATGGTGGTGCATGCCTGTAGTCCCAGCTACTCGGGAGGCTGAGGCAGGAGGATCACTTGAGCCTAGGAGTTTGAGGTTGCTGTGAGCTAGGATGACGCCACGGCACTCACTCTAGCCCAGGCAAAAGAGTGAGACTTTGTCTCAAAAAAAAAAAAAAAAAAAAAATGATTTTCCTCCAGTAGATGGTGCTACTAGCATCTGGGAAATAATTTCAAGTCTTCTATAGCATTAAAGAGTAAGCTTTCATTATGTGTACTGATTACTCAGGAAGATTTTTGGTGACTCATATCACATTTGGAAGTAAACATTTGCTTTAGATAGAATGCATTCTTTGGTCCAGTATTATTGCTTTTCTTTCCACAAATGCTGACTGAGCAATCGCAGTCTCTAGTCATAGGTATAGCACTAGACTTTGGCATTGAAGTAAAATGTGCTAAATCAAAATTTAAGGAAAGTTAAAGAGTCATTAAAATAAACATATAGTTCTAATACTTTTAACCATGTATACTACCTGATTTCATTTCTCAAATTATTTTTATGGAGCTGTGCTTTGCAGGAGAGATGTTAGTTGATTAACAATAGTAAAATCAATTTTTGAGCTGGTATGAACTGTATCATGACATGCCTTCTTCTTGGGTTTATAAGAGAAAGTGAGATTGTTCTGTTTGCTTGGAAATTTTCTATAATTTGACCTTGCAAATGTCTGCTTCCAGAGTACCCCCGCTGAGTGCCTCAGATGATTCTAGAAAGAGCTGTACGGTTGGGATGGCCACAATGATTCTTACCCTGCTTTCGTCAGCTTGGTTCCCATTGGATCTCTCAGCCCATCAAGATGCTTTGATTTTGGCTGGAAATTTGATTGCAGGTACTCGTGCTGAGTTGAAATAGGGACGTCAGGACTTTAGCTTTTGATTTCCTTATGAGATGTGGGAGATGGTGAACATATGAGGGGAAAATATTATGAGGTCATTCCCAGTGATAACTTTTTCTTTTAGTCAAAATTTCAGATATTACTTGTATGCCTGAGTGTGTATAGTTGGCAGCTGTTCTATGCTGAGTATTTTGAAGTAGGCTTTTCCCAGTCTAGCCCCTTAGTTAATTATGAGTAAACTCATTTTGAATTTCATTTTAGTGGGTACCATGTGCCACATACTGTCTCAAGCACTGGGGCTATAGGAAAGTATCATATATGGACTCTCTTCTCAAGTTAGTTTTAGATTAGTGGTAGATATATGTAAACAAAAGCAAAGTGGCAACACAGAGTGGCCGTAATCGCTTTCCTATGGGCAAATTTATGGGCTGACAGGAAAGGATACACCAGACAGAGGGTACAGCACATGCAAAGACACGGAGACATGTAAAATCGTGTGACATTTGGGGAACTGTAAATAATTTTGGATGTTCTGTGAAGACGGGGATGAGAATGGAGAACGTGGCCAGCAGGACAGGCTGAGTCCATGGCTAGCAGGACAAGCCAAGTGCATTGTGATCCATTAGGGGGGGATCGCTAGTCTCCATTAAGGAATGTGGACCTTTGTTGTTTGCTGTGGGAAACTGTTAGAGAGTTTCATGAAAGGGACTGACAGGTCAGTATTTTAGAAAGATCATTCAGCCAACTTGAATATAGGTTGGAAGAGGGGTAGGGAAACTGAGTTTTGGAGGTTAATGTTAAAGTGAAGTCAGGGGATAGAGAGTCTGACCCAAGAGAATGGCTTGGGGATTGTAAGGAAGAGGCTGATTGAAAGAGAACGAAGGAGGCAGAATAACAGGCCTTGATCACCAACTGAACTTCAATTGTGAGGACCAAGATGGGGCCCAGGATGACTTTACATCCTGAGTGGGTGTATGGTGGTGACATTCATGTAAATTGAGAACACAGATTTTTGGGGGGGAATGTCAATTTCATATTTAGTTTGGGGTATCAGTTGAACATCAGGTATAGATGTCCAGCAGACTCTCAACATAGATGGGTCTAAATTTCTTTTCACACACTGTGGGGGTAGAGAGGTAATATATGTGCCCATTTCACAGCCAGTGCCCCTAAATCTCTGAGAAGTTCATGGACCTCTGAAGAAGAAGCCAACTCAGCAGCCAATAAACAAGAGGAGGTCTGGCCAGCTCTGGGTGACCGGACCCTGGTGCCCATGGTGGAGCAGCTTTTCTCCCATCTGCTGAAGGTGATTAATATCTGTGCTCATGTCTTGGATGATGTGGCTCCTGGACCAGCAATAAAGGTAACTTCTTCCTCGGGGCAGCTGTTTTAATACAGTCCTAATGACTGTGGACTTCCAAAACATCTTTGTTTAGTACTCTGTCCCTTTTTAATTCTCTTTTCGTTTAAATGAACAAAACTGCTCATATTGTGACACTAAATTTAACATCAAAATGTGATCATCTGTTTTATAGCTCTTTGTTATTATTTATCAATTACTGTTACTCTAAAAGGGAAATACTTAGCTTTATTTTTAGGCTTTCAGCATCAGCCAAGAAAGCTCAGAATTGAAGTTGCTAGCTAAGCAGCTCATTTGCTCTCTCCTTAAATGTTGGCAAACAGTTTTGCTTTTCTATGAAGCAATAAAATCAACCTCAAAACAAATGTTAAACTACTTGCACAATGAATTTAAGATCAGTTCACTTATTATATCTGATAACTCTTGCTTTGCTGTATCTTTCACCTTTAAAAACCTCTCTTGGCCAGGCACAGTGGCTTATACCTATAATCCTAGCACTTTGGGAGGCTGAAGTGAGTGGATCTCTTGAGCTTAGGAGTTTGAGACCAGCCTGAGCAAGAGCAAGACCCTGTCTCTACAAAAAAATAGAAAAATTAGCCAGGCATGGTGATGCATGCCTGTAGTCCCAGCTACTTGAGAGGCTGAGGCAGGAGGATTGCTTGAGCCCAGGAGTTTGAGGTTGCAGTGAGCTGTGATGATGCCACTGCACTCTAGCCAGGTGACAGAGCAAGACTCTCTCTCCAAAACACCCCCAAAACCCCAAATAAACACACCTCTCTATCTTTCCACTTGGCTTTAGCTCCTCCCTTTTCTGCAGTTGTCTCTGGAGAGGCATGCCTCTTAGCTCCACCCTGTAGAGCTTTCTGCTGTTCCCTAACCAGGGCTGGGAAACCTTTTCATGCTGGAAGTTCACATTAATTTAGCTATAATCAAATAAGGCCACATTCAGTAAACTTCAATTAGATATACTTAAAAATGTACATTATTTTTTAAAACTCTTACTACTATGTACTTAATAATTTTGAAAAATGACTATTAATTTTAAAGTAACTAACCTTTTAATGACTTTGTTGTGTCTGCTTTTTGTTGGAAAGCATTTGAACATTTGATTGCAACATGGAAGTCCACAGTTCCAGTTGATCCTCTGGATGGGTATCAGTCATTTGGGTGTCTTGATTTGGGTTAGGTAGGAGAATGTAGATTCGTAGCAATAAGAGGCTGAAAAGCAAGAAAGCATTTTTCGAGCATGTTGCTGAAGGCATGGGTATTCTACTGCATTTTTCCATATTTCAGTTGGATCTTTCTTAGCGTCAGACAATGACTTTAAAATGTCATCTACTGAGAGCTCAATGAATTCCATCTGTAGTTCTTTAGGTGCCTTGGTAATGTCAACTAGGTGAAACTGAAATTGCTCAATTGAGTATGATGTCATAATTCTCAAAGTCAGTGAACCTTTCATTGTATTCTCCAATTGCTAGGTCTATAATAGCTATGTATACTTCAAATGATTTGCATGTATCTTCCTACTCATCAATGACCTTTGGTAACTGGGGAAAATGTTCATCTGAAATTTCCTTTCAAAGAAAATGTGTTTTGAAAAAAGATAGCTTTTTTTGAAATGGTTGGATTTTTTGCCACATACCAACCATATGTAGACTTAGTTTTGCCTTGCAAAGAAATATTCACATTTTCATTTGACATGGTATTACACAGAAATGCTGCATTCCTATAGAATCTTCTTTGACTAACTCATATTGCTGATTTTGTTCTTCATAAAATATAACTATTCTCACTGAGATAAAATTTTGGCTAACACCTGTCCCTGCAAAAGCCAACACACTTAGAATGATATGGCAAATCCACACTGAATACCTCATCCTTCAACTTCAGTATGTTATGAAACTGACCATGCTGTGTTGCATTTGCAGGAATATAATTAATAATACTTATAATTTTTGCAAAGTGTCACTTAAAATAGTAGCTTCAGCACAGAGCTTTTGCTGATGCAAGCTACAATAAAAAGAAATGAGAACACTGGATCTGTTAATACCTTTTTTTTGAGACAGATTTTAGAACAAAATCATGAGCATAGCAGCTGTCACGTAATAAGCCCTTACGGCTTATTAATGTTCTAATTGTGCCAGTCAATCTGGAAGGATTATTTTGTTAAAACTTATTTTATTCTTTGATGCTGTAAATATGTTCATTTAAAAAATAAAAATACAAAAGAGCGAAAGTGTATTAACAAAAATAAAAGGATTTGTTCTATAAAATTTGGATTCAGTCAAAAGGCTGCACTTAAGGATCTAGAAGGCCACATGTGGCCTTAAGGCCGCAGACTCCCCACCCCTGTCCTAGGCGGACCTTCTGTGCAAGGCTTCTTTGGCCCTCATGGCCTGAACTCTGTCCACTATTTCAGCCATCCATTCTTTAACCCCTCCTGGTGATATCTGCTCCCATGCTCCCCAGCAGTGCTTCCTGCAAAGGCCATATCTTTTAACCTTATGGGCAATGTCCCAGACCTGCCTTCCTTGCCCTGTCTGCACCCTCTATGCTGCCACTCCCATCTTGAGCGTCCTCTCCAATTAGGCTTCCAGACAGCCTCTTGAGTGCCCTCTGATGCTGGTGCTGCTCCCCGGCCACTCTCCTGGCTCAGGCTTTGCTGCCTGCTGTCATGTTCTTTAGGCTGTCTCCTAGGCTGTCTTCTCTCTTCGTACTCTCTGGGGCAGTGCTGGCCCAGAAAGTTGCAGGACTTTCCACAACCGTGGCGGCCAGAACAGTAGCCACTAACCATGTGTGGCTATTGAGCCCTTGAGGTGTGGCTGGTGTGACTGAGGAATTGAACTTCTGATTTTGTTAAATTTCCATTAATTTAAATTTAAATAGCCACGTGTGGGTAGTGGCTCCAATAATAGACAGGGCAGCTCTGAGCAGTTAGGGAACTGCTTCAGTATGTGAACATCAGGGACCTCAGATCTATTTTTGGAGCTACAGTCCCCTGTGACCATCTGCCACATGACATTTCTGTTTGGCTGATCCATAGGTAAGTCAAACACAGTAGTTAAAAGCTGAACTTCTTGTCCTTCCCCAACTCCTATGCCTGCTCTATTTCCCACACTTCATATTTTATCAAGATAGAAACAGGGATCATCACAACTCTCCATTTCCACTCACTAAGTCCTTTGTTTTCCCTAGTAAATATCTTACCAAAAATATATGTATACATATGTGTACACCTACATGTACATGTACACACACATGCATATATGTGTATACATTCATATATATATATATATATATATATATACATACTTTTTCTCTATGTTCTCTGCCACTCCTCTGGTCCAGAGTGATGTAGTATCTCGTTTGGTGTACTGCACTATCCTTTTTTTTGAGAAACAGCATTATTGAAATAATTCATTTACTATACAGTTCACCCATTTAAAGTGTATAATTCTCTTTAGTATGCCCACAGAGTTGTGCAGGCATCACCAAAATCCATTTGAGAACTCAGAAGAGAACCTTGTACCTTTACCCCAAACCTCCCATGCCCCCAGCTGTAGGCAGCTACTAACCTACTTTCTGTCTCTGTGGATCTACCTCTTCTGGACATTTCCTGTGAGGGACTTGTGCCTTCCACTGAGCTGGCTCTGCAGTGCGGCGCCTCTCGAGTACTCTCTGCAGTCCTTCCCTGCTGCCTTCCCTCCCATCTCCCGATCGCAGCCATTTATCCCATCATACCCACTTTACAGACAAGGCTCAGAAGTATAAAGCGACTGTCTTAGTCAGTTTGGGCTGCTATAAGAAAATACCATAGCCTGGGTGGCTTAAACAAAAGAAATTATTTCTTACAGTTCTGGAGGCTGGAAGTCCAAGATCAGGGTGCCAGCAGATTCAGTCTCTGATGAGGGGCCACTTCCTTATGGACAGCTGCCTTTTTGCTGTATCCTCATGTGCTGGAAGGGGCAAGAGGCCTCTTTCATAAGGACACAACTCCATTCATGAGGGAAATACCCTCATGACTAGTCACTTCCCAGAGACCCCACTTCCTAATACCATCACCTTGGTGGTTAGGTTTCAATGTATGAATTTTTGGGGCTATAGACATTGAGACCTCAGCAGGTACTTTTCTGAGATAAGAGAGTAAGTGAGTCACAGGCCTAAGACTTGAAGTCCAGGTCTCTGTCATCCTGTCCTCACTCTGCCTTGTGCCACTGTCTCCTGGAGTGTGGGAGCCGAACATTGTATATTCTCTCATGTGCTGTATATTGGAGAAAATTTGGGTTTTATGGATATATCTGGGTTTGTTGACTTCCAGCTCTGCTGCTAATTAGCTGGGACCTTGAATAAGTCACTTCATCTCTGAGCCTGTTTCCTCATTTGAAAAATGGACTTTAAAATGCTGCTTTGTACCCTTTTTCGTGTCATGGTTAACATAGAATGCCCTGGTAGTTTGCTCTTGAAGGAGTTAGGTCTGGGGTTCCAGTGGCCTCAGGCGGCACCTGACTCCCTGAGGGTTGTTATGCATGTGATTGTTGTGCGAGTGAAGTAGATAGTATGTGTAGAGTGTCAGAGAATAAAATGGATTGCATGGGTAAAACCATACGTCTTGGTTTTCAGTTTCTGTATTGGTTATATTTCCATCACATGTTTTATTTTCTATTTTAGGCAGCCTTGCCTTCTTTAACAAACCCCCCTTCTTTAAGTCCCATCCGACGAAAGGGAAAGGAGAAAGAACCAGGAGAACAAGCATCTGTCCCACTGAGTCCCAAGAAAGGCAGCGAGACCAGTGCAGGTAAGAAGTAGTGCTTGGGGAGGGGGCTGGGAGCATGCCATCTGTTGTGTAGAAATGTAGGATTTAAGCGGTAACTTGGCATTTTATGGAAATAAAATACACAGACGTGAAGCCAGAGAAAGTTTCTCCAGGTGCGGTGTGAGATATTAAAAATTAATTACTAAATGTGTACAGACTGCCTTGTGGTCCTAAGCGTCTGCAAGTGTCACTTGCTGAGATGCAATCACCACAAACTGCAGGCTCCAGCCACAGCAAGGAGCCTCGCTCTCCTGTGCTTTCTCTCGTCTCCTCTCTTCATCTCAGGGGAGGGGTGGGGAGGGCTAGGAATAGATGTTGTGGGGTGAAAAATAGATTCAGATATGGGAAGAATTCTGATGTTAGAAATGGAATATTTGCATTTGGAAGAGCTAAAGTAGAGATCAAGTGGGGAGAAGTTATCTGAATTGGAGGAGCCTACAACATTCCCAAGTTTGGAGTGACTTCTACACCCGGGAACATGCCAGAACAGAAGGGGCAGAATTGAGGTGTTGCTACAATTTACGTGAAGTGACCACTGTTACGTGTCCTGGGTACCCATCTGTGTGCACCCCCAGCCCACTCTCACCCTGTCTCATGGTGCCCCCCATTCGTTTGTTTGTACAGCATTCATAGCAAGGCTACTTATTTCTTTATTTTTAATTGGCAAATTAAAATTGTATTTATGATATATGCACAACATGATTCGAACTACGTATACGTTGTGGAATGCTAATTAACATATTCATTACCTTACATACTAACCACTTTTTGTGGTGAAAACACTTAAAATCTCTCTTAGTGATTTTCAAGCATACAATACATTGTTATTAACTGTAGTCACCCTGTCGTACAATGAATCCCTTGAACTCATTCCCCCTGTCTATAAATGAAATTTTATATCCTTGACCAATATATTAAGGTTTTTTAAAAGATGCTCTTTTCTAAGGATTGACCTATAGGACAGCAGGAAGATTTATGTGTTTAAAAGCTTTAGACTTTATAAGTACTTAAATTACTACTATGTGAGCAATCATCTTTTTGATGAATTATTAATAAATAAACTAAGGACTCTAAGTCAAAAGTCCTTAAAACTGGAGAATAGTTCTGTATAGTGCTTGGCACTTTGATGTTCAGTATCAGTTTAACGATAATGTTTGTGCACTTTACAGTTTTCAAAACATGTTCACATCACCCCTGTTTGACTGTGTAACAGGTCCTGTAGCTAGTTGGGTGGGGCAGCCCCTTGGTGCCCCCACCAGGGGACCTCAGGCTCAGAGCGGCCCTGGGGTTGGCCGGTGGCCCTTGAGTTTGCTGCTTCTGTGATTCTCAGACTGTTGCCTCACAAGCAACCAAAACAGGAGGAATCACTGCCACACTGCTGCTGCTCTTCCTTTGTGTTGTTTTTTTAGTACTCAGTTCTACTTACATGCCTATTAGTCAATTTCTCATTACTTCTAGTTAACCAAAAAGTCAGAGGAAAATTTGAATTTTTTTCCTACTAGAATGCTTTAAAAAAAATCATTATTTCCAGTAATGTCTTTTAAACTTGGCAAGTTTTTACTTTTGATCTAAAAATTTATCTTTTATGTGCATATTTTTAAAGCCTCTAGACAACCTGATCCCTCAGGGCCCGTTACAACAAGCAAATCCTCATCATTGGGTAGTTTCTATCATCTTCCTTCGTACCTCAAACTGCACGATGTCCTGAAAGCTACTCATGCCAACTACAAGGTATGGGCCTCTGTCTCTTCTGTGAATATATATGTACATGTACTTATTTCTAATAGATTGTTGATGTTTTTCTTATGGTTTATAGGATATGTGTACATATATATGTGTGCATATATATTATACTTAGAAGTTAGCTCTTTGAGCTATAATACAATTGGTTTTTTCAAATATGTCTTTCAGCTTTGTTTATGGTAACTTCTATCATACGGACATTTTGGATGTTCATATTGGAGAAATAATCTCTATGGTTTATGGGTGTTGTGTCTGGGCTTCCCAAGAGCAGCTTGAGTACATAGGCTCATTAGAAGGCCTCGTGGGACTGGGCACTAGTTGTGCTCACGGCTAAGCTATATGACAGTGAGTAGTGAGGACATACCGCCAGGTTAGCAGGGAAGGAGGGATCCGTGTGCAGGCGTCCTTTGCTTTCTCCCTGCCACTAGGCTCACATGAAAATACAGCAATGTGCTGGTCACATAGGCACCCTCTGCCTAACAGGAGCCAAAATTCTAGGCTGCCAGAAGAAAAGCAGGTATTCAGCATAAACCATGTATGTCCAATAGTCTGGACACAGTGAGCCCCCTTATCAGCTAGGGGAAGTTTTATGTCAGCATAGGGCACGGTTCACCAGACACCTCGAAGGGCCAGCCTTGCAAGCAGGCCTTTGGAAGGGTAGCAGTCCGTTCTATTGACTCTTTCCTGTATAGTTATATTTCAGTTCTTTTGTTCATTGTTTTTACTTTAAAATTTTCTATACATCTCAAACTTTTAGATTTGAAGTGTGGATCTAACTTATTTTTTTTTCAGTTGCGCAACCATTTGTACCCAACACTATTTACTGAATGATTTGTTGTTCTGCACTGATTCGTTTGAGTTACTGCCTTTATCTAATACTACTTTTTCATGGTCCTATAGTTTCTGTTATTGTCACATCTGTCTGTTCATCTGTTGGAAGCACACTTTTTTGATTATTACAGCCTCATGTTGTATTTTGGGGGGTATCAGTTCCTCCATTCTTCTTTAGAATTTTCCGAATATTATTATTTATTTTGCTTGTAAACAAGCTTATGTGTAGATTAACTTAGGGAGAATGGATATCACAGGTGTTTAAGTTGGCCTATTCAGAATGTGGGATGCTTCTCTCTTTGTTCAAAATGTTTTTCATTACCTCAGAAACATGAGACTTAAAGGATTTTAAAAGGAACTTTAAAGATTATTTCAGATAGATCTTGCATATTTCTTAACAGATGTTATCCCCAGGTATTCATCTTTTCTTGTTACTAATATTTTTCTCTCTTTTTCTTTTTTTGGAAAACCATTTATAAACTGTATGTGGCTTCTTTTCTGAAGGATATTGATAATGTTGAAAGATTCAACCATGTTTTACAAAAGATTCAGAGCCTCTATTTAGCTGCATGTTCCTCATGTCAACCCCCAGAGTAGAGGAGGGTATGTTGAAAATGCCACATGGAGAAGGCATTTCATTTCCACCTGTTTCAACTCAGATCATCTTGAATTCTGGAGCCCTTTCCATGTTCCCAGTGTCTGCTCCCTGTTTGTCATTTTCCTTCCTGAACAGCCTGGGCACTAGGGTACCCCACTGTAGCTGCCTCCCTGGAACCCTAGACTCCTGCTTCCCTGTTCCCTCACTCTTCCTTGTCAGCTCCTGCTGCACAGAGTTCTCAGTCTATGTGTGTTTGGAGTGGCTGACGTGTCTTGTTGGAACTTTGGTTGTTACCTCTTGGTGCCCTGGTGCCTTCTGAGCTACTCAGCCTCTGCACTCCCTACACTTTGCTGTATAGCCCTTCCTGCCCCTCTTAACCCCTTGTCTCTCCCCTGGTTTCTTTTTTTTTTTTTTTTTTGAGACAGAGTCTCATTGTGTTGCCTGGGCTAGAGTGCCGTGGCATCATCCTCGCTCACAGCAACCTCAAACTCCTGGGCTCAAGCGATCCTCCTGCCTCAGCCTCCCGAGTAGCTGGGACTACAGACATGCACCACCATGCCCGGCTAATTTTTTCTATATATTTTCAATTGTCCCATTAATTTCTTTCTATTTTTAGTAGAGACGGGGTCTCGCTCTTGCTCAGGCTGGTTTCAAACTCCTGAGCTCAAACAATCCGCTCGCCTCGGCCTCCCAGAGAGCTAGGATTACAGGCGTGAGCCACCGCGCCTGGCCTCCCCTGGTTTCTTGCTTAGTTTCCAAGTCTCTGCACAATTTGGGCTGCTCTTCTGAAAGCTCTGGGGCAATCCCTTTCATCTTAATTCTCACCCCAGGAGCTAGGCCTCCCTGCTTATGCTTCTCCCACCAGTATTTCCCTCCCCTCCACTGTTGTCTGGGGAGGAAAGATCACTATGCCAATGGAGGAGGCCCCTTCCCCCGGGATTCCAGATCCCACGTGATCCACATGACACCATCATGTAACTCTGTCCCTTGGCTCCTCAGTGGTCTTACTGCTAGACTTTTCCTTCTTTTGCCTGGCCTGCTGAAAGCACACTCAGGTGGACCCTAGTGTGATCATTTAACAATTTTTTCTCATTATGACAGAAGGTTAGGAATTATTTGTTTCAGTAGTATCAGTATAATTTGGAGGATGCCTTTGAAATATAACAGTTTTTTTATAGCTACCTGAAAGAGTAATTTCCTTTCCAAGGTGTTTTCCTGGTGCTAAACACACACGGACACAGACACACCCTGAATGGTGAGTGTGCAGGCTGCAGAGTGGAAGCATCTCGCCACAGCGGATGGTGTTTGTGCCTGTTGTGGAGAACCAGAGCATGACGTGACAGTAATGATGTTTCTCTCCTTCACCTTCCCAAGGTTACCTTGGATCTTCAGAACAGTACTGAAAAGTTTGGGGGGTTTCTGCGCTCTGCCTTGGATGTTCTCTCTCAGATTCTAGAACTGGCGACACTGCAGGACATTGGGAAGGTTTGTGTCTCATTGTTTCTCGTTGAGCTGTGCTGGCACCCTTGCTGTGCACCCCCTGGGCTGAGTGCATCTAGGGCTGGAACCTGGTTCTCCAGGTTCATCCAGAAAGCAGCAACAGTGCAGGAGACTCTTCCCCGGCCCCACGTGCCACAGCATGGCACAGCACCCATGAAATTCTGTTTGTATCCTCTTTCCAGTTTGTTACCACATATTAGCTTAGACTCAGTTTATTTTAGAAAATTTTGGTGAGTTTAAAAATGTGCTTACAGAGTCCTTTATTTTCTAATTTTGACCTTTTCAACTGGAAAGGGGCAAAAACGGACTCTGCCAGGTGTGTGGCTTGCTCTTCCCATGCCTTACAAGTAGTAGAGCTGGGATTGAAAGTCATGTTCTTTGGTTCTGCATCCAGTAATCTCCCTCCCTCCACCCCCATTTGATAATGAAAATGCTTAAACATGTAAGAAAGTTAAAAGAATTCTGTGGTGAACACCCATATCCTATCCACAACCCAGATTCCACAGTTCACATTTTGCTAGACTTGCTTTGTTGTGTGTATACCCACCTATCCACTTACCATTATATCTTATCTTCTAATGCATGTTAAAGTGAGTTACATACAGGTAGCACCCCCCTTTCAAACATGTGTATCTTCAAGTGAAATAACAGTGTGTCTCGTGAAGTTCGTTTTATCTCTTTAAATCTTTTTCTTATCTTGGTATGCATACAGGTTGACCTAGTTTTAATCATTATGCACATTATTTTATATTTCTTCTCTGTTATTCCTTGGGTTTCTCCCCATATATCAATTTAGTGTGTGCAGTTCTCATTTTAAATGGCTATATTGTGTCCTACTGTGCTGATACTCAGTCTTTGTCCCCTCAGAGTAAAATTTTTTTGAAGACTTTGGTAATGTCACCTTCTTGGTGAGGCCTTCCTGGCCATCCTGTATGAACTTACAGCTCTCCATACAGGTTATTCTCTTTCTCTGTTCATTTTTCTCTTTGACCCATAACATTATCCAATTATCAACCTAATAAAAAGACATTAGAGAAATGTCCAAATATGTTGAGTTTATTCAGGAATGAGAAATGAGGATTATAATCTGAAATGTACAGAATGGCAAGCAACCAGCATGTCTGGTGAGGGAAGGGTAAAGGAATGCCTTTATTGGCTAAAAGGGAGAGGTTCCCATCAGCTTCTTAGAAACAGAGTTTGTTGGCTCCAGAGGCTCAAAGCCAGAGTTGTTGTTGGTTCATTGGTGCAGATGCTGTTACTGGGCAAGTGTTCTTTTAAGAGCATCTTATCTGAATTACTGCAGTCCTAAAGAATGTCTAGTGATAAGACCTTGTCATAGAAACATATGCATATGTGTGGAACATGCAAGCCATGCAAAACACACAAGCTATGCGAAGAAGGAGATGTGCAAGGGATGTGAAGGGATTTCTTACGGGGTTGTCAGAAAGTCTTAGGAAATAGTTCTTATCTTGGACACATGATCATGATCCCCTTCTCCCTGGCGCCTGTCTGGGTCTGACAACAGTGATTTCATCCCGGGATCTGCAGATTTCATAAAACATACTATTTATTTATTTTATTTCTTTGTCTCTTCAGTGCCTATAGCAGTGCCTGGGAGATAATTGCATTCAGTGAACACTTGTTGACTGCACAGTAGATGCTCTTGTCAATAATCAGTTTGGGTGTTTTATTTCTAGTGTCTGCTTTGTCTTACAGCCATGCTGTGAGGGAGCTGCTATGAGCCCATTTTACACCATGACTTGCAGCTGAAAGATGTGACCTTCTCAGGGCAGATAAATCAGGGGCAGAGCCCAATTTAAGTCCCACAGCTTTTCGGATCTCCTGTTTTTTGCCCTAAACCTGACGCACGTGCCCAGCCACGTGTGAGGTTGGGCATCAGGGGTCTGCACAAGCCCGATGTGGCAAAAGGTATGAGCAGGTTTTCTTCAGGTGTCTGTGAACTTAACTGACTATAGGATTTAAAGGCAAAGGGAAATTTTAGAATAAAAATAGAGTTGTTTTGTTTCTCTAAATAGCAACACTAGGAATGAAAAAAATTCATAATTCCACTTCCTTGACAAATAATGGTTTATTTTTCTTCTCTTCTTGACTTTATTTATTCTATACTCATTTTTATATATAATTGAAATTTATTATGTGATGGATTTTTTTATTATTATTATATCATACACATTTTTCCATATGACTCCTCTGTATTATATGTTTTTGTCTGGCCACTTTCAAGACTTTAGATTGGTTTTGAGTGATTTGATTATCATGTGCCCTGATGTAGTTTTTTTTTAAATTTTTTTTTACATATTGTGTTTCATGTTCCTGGGTTCGTTGAGCTTCTTGGATCTGTAGCTTCATAGTTTTCTTAAAGTTTGGAAAATTTTTGGCCATTAGTTCTTCAAATATTTTTTTCCTGGCCCCCTTTCTCCTCTTAAGGGGACTGTGATTATCTGCATATGTGATTGCTTACTGTTGTCCCACAACTTAGTAATAGCTCTGTTCAGGGCTTTTTTTTTTTTTTTTTTTTTTTTTTTTATCTCTGTTTTTCATTTTGTACAGTTTCTATCTTCAAATTCTCTGATCTTGTAATAATTCTCTAATCTTCTCTAACAGTTCTTCTGTGAAGTCTAATCTATTTATCCCAACCGTTGTATATTTCCATCACTATAGTTTTTATCTCTAGAAGTTTGTTTGATTTGGGTCTTTTTAAAATCTCTCTCACATCTCTACTTAACTTTTTGAATACGGTTGTAATAACTGTTTTAGTGTCCTCTGTTAATGCTGAAGTCTTGTCAGTCTGGGCTGTTTTGACTGGTTGATCTGTGCTCTTCATTACAGATTGTTTTCCTGCCTCTGCACACCTGTTCCTCTTTGACTGGATGCCCAACACTGTGAATTTTACTTTGTTGGGTGCTGGGTAGTTTTGTATTCCTGTAAATCTTCTTGAGCTTTGTTCTGGGATTCAGTTAAGTTACAGTTTACTCTCTTGGGTCTTGCTTTTATAATTTGTCAGATGGGTAGGAGCAGTGCTTAGTCTAGGGCTAATTATTTTGTTATACTGAAGCGAGACTTTCCTGAGTACTCCACCTAATGCCCTGTAAAGTGTAGATTTTCCAATCTGACTGGTGCCAACAGTGACTGTTCCCAGCCCTGTGTGAGCACCAAGCACTCTTCATTCTAATTTTTTCTGGTGATTCCTTCCCCAGCCTTGGGTAGTTTCCTCACACACTGGTGCTAATCAGACCTCCGCTGAGTATTCAAGGGGACCCTCCCCAAGTCTCAGCGTCCTCTCTGTGCTGCTTTCTGTTCTGTGAACTGTAGTTGTCTTGGTCTTCTTGGATCCTCAGCCCCTCCTTAGCTCCAGGGTCCCCGGGCTGTGCTATGTTCTTCCTGTGCCACAACCTAGAAGTTATCAACACAGTGAGCTGGGGCAGGTGTGGGGCCCACCTCACTTGCTTCTCACTGCTCGGGGATCACTGTCCTTTATTGCCTGATGGCCATTGTCTTTAGCACTGTGGTGTAGTAATTTTGTGGTTTTGTTTTGTTTTTTAATTTGGTTGTTTCAAGCAGGAGGGTAAATCTAGTCCCTCTCACCCCATTTTGGCCAGAAGTGGAAGTTTCTATATTTTATTGTATATTAACATTTGTGACAGAGCCATGGTTCCCTGTTACTCTGGGAGCTCTCAGAAGGCTAGAAATAGCATCCTCTCTGACCTATGTTCAGTGCCCAGTGCACTTTCTGGTGCATACCAAGTATTCCACACATGTCTGTCAGACAAATTGTGATTCAAAGGCTCTATCTGTGATTTTTCAGTTAGCATTTATAGATATCCGTTATGAGGTAATAAAAACAAAAATTGACATGTAGCAAATTCAACCCTGAAAAGTACAACCTTGAACATTTAGAATCTAATTTGAGTAAATCAGAATTTTTAAAATACATGGCTCTTAAGTATCTAAAACCAACAAAAGTCTATTGCTTTTTAGTACAGGAAATTATATCAAACAAATGGAAAGGCATTTTCGATCTAATTGATATTGGTTTTCAGTAGTTAATAGCAACAGTGGCTCATGATAAGGTGGGCAGTGAGGAAACGCACTGCCAACTCTAAGTCTTGGCAGCATTCTGAGAGTTAGCATCTTCCTTCTTCCTTTTTTTTTTTTTTTGGAAACAAGAGTCTTGCTCTGTCACCCAGGCTAGAGTGCAGTGGCAGGATCACAGCTCACTGTAGGCTTGAACTCCTGGGCTCAAGTGATCCTCCTTCCTCAGCCTTCCAAAGTGCTGCGACTACAGCCATGAGCCACCACAACTGGCCCCCTTCCTTCCTGATTCGTCCAAAGGAGATTGGGTGTTTCAAACCTCATTGTTGGTGATAGTAAAAATACCTTATGAGAATAGTAACATTAAGGCAGTTATTTTGGTCATTCCTGCAGATTGCTATAAGACACTCTGGGACTAATATATAGTAAATCACACATTAATGTATTATGTGTTATGTTCCATTGAACATATTCAGGGGCTCCACAAATGCAGGGCTTTTGATTCCTTTGCACATTTCTGTATTCTTGCCCTGAAAATAGGACTGGATGGGTAGTAGGCAAGAGATACTTTTTTTCCTTTATTGATATATAGTATTTTACATATTTATGGGGTACCTGTGAGTGCTTTTCACATGCATAGAATGTGTAAGGATCAAGTCAGGGTATTTCATGTATCCATCACCTTGAGTATTTATGACAGTAGATGCTTGATAACTGTTTAACAAATGAGTGAATGAATCAATATATAAATGCATGAAGGAATGGTTTTAATATATCTACTTAGATTTTTTTACTGACTCTATTCATGATGATACATTGAAAACCTTCCTCTGATTTTCCTGATGTTTTAAGTAGAAGCTATCTTGTATCTCTGATTTCTGTCTAGGATTCACAGCAATAACGGGTCATCTGTGAGTCACTTAATGTCTTCCCATTCTTTCTTTCAAAAGTGTGTTGAAGAGATCCTGGGATACCTGAAGTCCTGCTTTAGTCGAGAACCAATGATGGCAACTGTTTGTGTTCAACAAGTAAGAACTGTCCTTTTCTGTTAAGCCTTCCAGGCACCTGGTCAAAATCCTCCTTCTTTAGAAGCTGGTGCTGGTGGCTGATCAGCAGGAAGGGTTGGGAGGTCCAGCCTGTCACTTTCTGCTCACTCCTTGATTAGGCCAAGAGCCTCCCCCCCACCAGAGGATAAGGTCTGTCACTGCAGAGGGCAGAGGGCATCAGACTCCACTAGACCCTCGCTGTTTAACCATTGTCTTCGTATCCTTCTGGGTTTTTCTTTAGAATACCCAGTCTCATTTAGAACTACACAGAAACCTGAAACTCTTATTTAAGGTACAAACAGCATTTCACAGCAGCACTCACAAGGCGTTAGTAACAATTCACAGCAAGAATTTCATATTCTGAATTTTTGCTAACATATCCAGTTATTTATAGATGGATTTGATATTTGCATGGGAAATGCTTAAAGTGTTGCTCATGCCATGTTAAGTAAACTATTGATGGCTTTAATTCTTTCACTCTAGTTGTTGAAGACTCTCTTTGGGACAAACTTGGCCTCCCAGTTTGATGGCTTATCGTCCAACCCCAGCAAGTCTCAAGGCCGAGCACAGCGCCTTGGCTCCTCCAGCGCGAGGCCAGGCTTGTATCACTACTGCTTCATGGCTCCGTACACCCACTTCACCCAGGCCCTCGCTGACGCCAGCCTGAGGAACATGGTGCAAGCGGAGCAGGAACATGACACATCGGGGTAACAGTCACGGCAAGAATGCTGTTGTTGGTGGAAACATGAAAGAGCAAGCAGGAAATTCTTTGTAAAAGAATTTAAAAAAATGGGTTAGCCAACAGCTTCCAGTAGTGCACTGTATCCAAAGAACTCTGGGAAAAAGGTTGATGCAGAGATGATGAAGGCACAGCCCCAGCCTTCAAAGAAGTATGGTCCAGTGAGTGAGAGGGGCTTCAGGGTAGATTAGCCCATCTCAGAGGTGGTTGGGCTAGAGGAAGAGGAGCACTGAGCGGGCTACCTGTGAAGCAGCCAGCTCTGATTTGCGTATTGTGTTAACAATTCAGAACTGTAGTATGGAACGTCCTCACATATTTACAGCACATATCCATAAATGCTGTTCTCCTTTACAGTAATGTGGGATGTGTTGGTAACACTTGTAGCTAAGGTGTTGGTAGTACTTGTAGTTATAGGTAGCACCTGTAACTAAGGTGAAAGAACAGCTTTAATACAGCATAGTAGTGCTCGTAGTTAGAGGTAGGTGAAGGACATCTAAGAGTCTTGGATGTATTACGTTGTGTTTTATCAACTTTGTGGCTGGAAGTCTCTCTTCACTTAAATTTATGTTTGTGATTTTGATGCCTGGAATATAGTAGGTATTTCTTAAATTGCCATAACCATTAACAGGTATTTGACTTGCTACTCTTTGCAGTAATGGTAATAGAATTCCTTGTTTTTCCTTTTATAAATGTAGTGATCAAACAGCTATAATTAAAATACTAGAGTCAGGAGTCAAGGAAAATACCCATGTTCCAGGCTTTATGTTTGTAATGTGCTTACTATAGTATATATCCAAATTTCAGGAGTAAGTCTACTTGATCATTTGAGGTATAAATAAACAAACCAGTACGTGTGTGCATGCACATGAGTGTGTTAATTTCATGTATATTAATATTTCTTAAAGAATAGAATTGATTTAAAATATATTAAAGGTTTTTTCTCTCCAAGGAAATTAAGTGATATTTTCTAAATTACTGAATCTTTCAAATGACTTTCACCTCTCTTTCAAGTACTAACTACTGGGCTGAGTAGTGAGTTTTCTGTAGCAGAAAAAAGCTCAGACTTGAGTAACCTTCCACAGGTGACAAGACTTGATGGCTGCCAGGCAACTGCCAACTCTAAATTGAATATCATTATCTCAAGAGCATGATACTGCTACATTGAGTGGCCTTTCAAGTTCTTTGTCACTCTGAAATGTTCTGATTTTGTGACATGAAATTAGTTTGAACTGGAGTATAGCAGGGTACAGTAGGAGATTATTTAAGGATATTCTTTGCTTCCCTTTTCTTCCTATTTGGCAGATGGTTTGATGTACTCCAGAAAGTATCTACCCAGTTGAAGACAAATCTCACAAGTGTCGCAAAGAACCGTGCAGATAAGGTAAATGACACTGTAGCTTGAGACAGCGTGTGAATTTGGGCCCCTTCAATACTAGAAATGAAAGTAGAGCCTGAGACTTTCCAGATTGGTGGCTTGAAGCTTTTAGTTGAAGACTCACTTATGGATTCTTTCCTTTTTTTTTTTATAGAATGCTATTCATAACCACATTCGTTTATTCGAGCCTCTTGTTATAAAAGCTTTAAAGCAGTACACGACAACAACATCTGTGCAATTACAGAAGCAGGTTTTGGATTTGTTAGCACAGCTGGTTCAGTTACGGGTTAATTACTGTCTTCTGGATTCAGATCAGGTTTGTCATTTTTATCTTTCATCCATGATACCTGTTCCTAATTTAAAAAAATTATCCTAAAAAGACTGAAATATGCCTTAAAGAAATGTGAAATTTGTTTTTCCCCTATCAGTGGCTACCTCTTAACTATTTCATACAACTCTCTGATGCAAAAGGCCTGAACACAGCAGGCCTCAGCAGTGTTGGCATCTCCCCTTAATGTCCCCGTCTGTGTTATGCCTTTAAAAACTTGCCAAAGATTTTCCTCATCCATTCACCTAACCCCTCTAAAATAAGATTGAATTTAAATTGTAGGATATAATTAAGATTTATTATTTTGGGGCACATTTTGGTGAAATCCCTAGATTTATTTTAAACAGATTATCAATTATGGTCTGTAGTTTCTAGCAGTCTGAAAAGTTAGCTCACCTCTTTAAAAAGAAGTGTAAACCTCCCAGGAAAGTAGCTGAGGCCATGCTCCCAGATTCCCATGTGGAGTTGTGTGAGCTTGCAAAGATACTTGTGCTCGCCTCCCCTCTCAGCCACATGGCACCCTTGTGCGCTTGCTGTGGGCTGGTCATGTCCTTCATGATGCATATTCTCTTCAAGATTCATGCTAGTTACATTCATTACAGATAAAACTGCTTTTAGGTCATCAAAATCTAACTGTCTTGTTGGGCTGGTATCTTAGGCTACTTTCCCATGTGAGACAGGAAATTTTTTGTTATAGAAATATTACAATTCTCCGTTTCTTCCTAGGCATATAAATCTATCTGTAGATCCTGTCAGCACTTTTATTCACCTTAAAGGGTTGTTTCCCTAGGAGAAATGAAGAAACAGGTAGTATTGGGGGTGGGATCAACTTCTAATGAAAGAGGAGTCAGGGGGCGGGTCTTTGCCTTGGCCTGAAGCTTTTACTCTTCCTTCTTTCACAGAACCTATCAGGAGAAAATCAGTCCAAACAGGCCATTTCCCTCTTCGGGGAATATGCTGGTTGGGAGACTTCATTCCCTTTCCTCTGACACTAGGAGGCTGTGTGGGGCAAAGCCCTGGTCTTCAGCCCTTGGTGGCAGGGACCGAGAAGAGTCCAGGAGTGCCCCAGAGGGAGGCTAGAGCACTGACTTGGTCTGTTCTAATACATATCAAAGACTATAGCCTTCTCCAAAGTTTCCCAGTTCTGACTCATCATAGGTAGAAACTGACTTTCTCATATGGAAGTTACAGACTGTGGTCTCTTGGGGCTATCTTTAGTAGATGAAAAAAGAAAAAAAAAATAACCAACTTCCCACTCTAACATAGAATTGTCAGGTAGACTTGAACGTTTTGTCAAATTCTTTCTTTAGGTCAGGTGCAGTGGCTCATGCCTATATCCCAGCACTCTGGGAAGCCTAGGCGGGAGGATTGCTTGAGCCTTGGAGTTTGAGGCTGCAGTGAGCCATGATCAGGCCACTGCTCTCCAGCCTGGGTGACAGAGCAAGACCCTGTCTCAAAAAAAAAACAAAAACAAAACACCTCTTTCTTTAGTGATTCTATGTAGAGATTTTTCTCATATATAGAATAATTTTTTTCTTGCTTTTATCTTTCTAAAATCTCTGTCTAGTACTTGGACAGCCTCGAAATTCTCCCGTGCTGTGCTTGTTCCTACATGTATGTTGAGCTCATCTTTAGCATGTGCTTTACTCTGTGTCCCAGTGTCCTCTGCCTCATGCCAGTGAAGTTAATGACCAGCTGCCCTGTGCTTGATGGTGTGACACATTTCTTGCCGTGAGCGCTCTGGCCTCATTTTTTTTCTGATTGACTTTAATTAGTTGGTCCCCTTTCTCCTAGTTCTTAGGATTTAATACAGTGACAGTTTTATGAACGAGACTAGAACAGACAAACCATTGAATTCAATTTAGACAGTGATTTGTTGAGCACCCTGTATGTCTGCATTAGGCCCCAGGGCCATGAGAAAACAGTAGGGGGCGGGTCTAAGTTCCATGCTTTGTGGAAGCTTCCCATCAGGTTAAGGAAGCTGATGGCTGCACAGGATATGAGTGTGACACAAAACTGGCTCTCATGCAGTCCTAACATACTGCCATAGCTTCCTGGGGCTGTCCCTTACCTGGTGGCACCCACACCAGCACTGGACACCTTTGAATGTGAAGGTGGTGGGAGGGAGAAAGCCAGCTTGTTGGGCATCTTATCTATCACCAGACCAGTTTCAGGGACTCTGTGATGCTCAGTCTGTCATTACCTGCAACAAAGGAGTCCCCAAGATGTATTTTGGGGTAACGCTTGATGTCTCCTGGAATTCATTCTTTGTTTTCCCAGTGCAATTTCACCTCAGTTTTTAATAAACTTATTTTAAAGAGATTTCCGAAAATGCTCTGCAATCAGGTAGCCTGACTTCAGAATAGATTTGAGTTATGTATGCAGACAAATTTATTTGCTGTCAAGAAACTTGTTAAAAATTTATACAGATAAGCAAAAAGAAAAGAAACCTGGCTTTACATTTTAATACTATTATTTATGTCAAAATTGTATTTTCCTTCCTGTAGGTATTTATTGGCTTTGTGTTGAAACAGTTTGAATACATCGAAGTGGGCCAGTTCAGGTAATAGCATTTTGTTATTTTGGGTTTCTTCTTGTTGTGCACTTATATGTAATTTAAATTATTAAGATGAACATTTGAAGTACTGTTAAGCATTTTTGCTGTTTTCTTTAAATGGAAATCTGATCAACATGCTGTGCATTTTTCTTTCTCTTAAAAATTAATGAGTATCTCAAGACTTGTTTAGAAGCAGTTTTTCATGTGGTAATTCCGTATTTTGTCAGTTTTCACTTCACATTTCAAAGCATTTATAACAAAATCTTATCTGGTGGAATGCTAATTTTTAAAAATCTTGTTATAGAAAGCATTTTTAAAATAAGGTTGTCTTTAGTAAAGGTAACTACTGTGTGTGTTACTTACATTAACTATAATTTTTTCTTCCTTAACATTAAGGTTTTAATACTTCTTGCTATGCCCATTACAGGTATATAATGATTGAAAATTAAAATTCTTTAGTTTCTGAAGTACTTAGTAAATACTGTAGTTAGGGAAACTTAGTGCAGAAGAAAAATTTTCTGAGAGTCCCTGGGGCCTGAGGACCCAGTGTTTATTCTAATTATGTGACACTTTATTTTGGACAAGTTACTTTTTCTCCTTTGAATCTCAGTTTCTTCAAAAGGGAAGGGGCAGAAAAGAGCTGAGAAGATTGAACTCCCGGCACCTGTGCTGTCAGGGGCCTTCTCCCTGCTCTCACTGGGCCCTTCCACCTGTCTAGGCTCTTCACGTGGACGCAGATGGGGACGCACAGTGATAGGACAGGATTATATTAGATCGCTGATGCCCCTTTAGCTTAATTCGAGCTCTCTTCTCAAGGTTGAGTCATGAGTTATTTTATGTTGCTTGTATTGGTTATGTATCTTAATTTTAAAAAGAAATGTCTAAATGAATGTTTTTGTTTCCAGGGAATCAGAGGCAATTATTCCAAACATCTTTTTCTTCCTGGTATTACTATCTTATGAACGCTATCATTCAAAACAAATCATTGGAATTCCTAAAATCATTCAGCTCTGTGATGGCATCATGGCCAGTGGGAGGAAGGCGGTGACACATGGTAATGGGGCACGCCTTCACTGTTGTCTTCAGTGTCACCACGTGCTTGGCACTGTGATCTTCTCACACCTACTTTCAACTGTGTGAACAGCCACTCTGGGCTTCCCAGGTTCTGTGTGTGTGTGTGTGTGTGTGTGTGTGTGTGTGTTTGTGTCCCCTTATGCATGAATGTATCAGAGATGTTTAAAAAGAGTAGAAAGCATATTCTTTACTCTCAGGAGTTTATGATCTACTTAGGGGAAAAAATAACAACAGTAAGATGGCCTAAGGTACGGATAGATTCTGAATATAAATGCTCCTGTTTATCCATATGAAACAAAAATTTTTCAACTCTTAACTTACCATAATTAAATTTTGATTTCTCATCCAATGGTGTTAGAAATATAGTTTGACCTTGATCCAGGGCTTTCTGTTTTGCCTGATTATTTTACAGGAGCTTAAATAAGGACCAGAGAAAATAGCGAGCTGCTCAAGTGGTGCCCTTAGCCTGTGGAATGAGGTGGTGTGGTTTTAAGAATGACTTGTACATCTTTCTTTGAACTTTTAAACTGATCTTCTAGCATTTGCCTGTTGGCCCCTCTCTGGCTCCTGTGCCAGGACTCTATAGGCTTTTGAGCTTTGATAAGGATCCATCCTAAGACCCTTGCAAACCCCCAAATGTGAGAATGACACTGCTACAGAGTACTTCCCACTCAGTGCATCTGCAGGAGAGTGTAGAGTGTGTTGTGTTGAGAGATGGCTGTGGCCACCCTCTCGTTTCCATGCAGCTAAGTCAGTCAGTCTTTGTCACGGCCTCACAGGGGCTTGAGATTCGTGCTGCAGCAAAAGTACAGATTATTAAAAGCAGAGATACTGAGTCACTGGATTTAGTTGAAAATGCAAATGTTAAGTATAGGGAGCAAAGGTTTCCTGGACTAGGAGAGTCTGTAGAAAATCAGTGGGCAACTAAATCCACTACTTTCTCCTGGGAAATTTAATCGTCTGTGAGAGGATCAGTGTGCCTGTGTGTGCATGTCACTGAGGGCCAGAGAGAGTGTGCCCATGTATGTATGTCACTGAGGGTCAGAGAGAGTGTGTATGCATGTCTTTAAGGGTCAGAGAGTATGTGTGTGTGCTCACGCGTACATTGTCACTGGGAGACGGAATGTACCTGTGTGCTAATGAAAGGCATTTCTTTTATAATTTTTCCATGTGATCATATTACACCAATTTAATTTATTTTGACTCTTGTTCTGGACCAAGACAAGACCTAAGGGAAAACCCCTTATCTAATAAGAAGAGTGAGTTTACTTAAAATAACATAATAATCTAATGCTATGGCTAAATGTACTCAATAGCAGAGGCTTTTATTGTCTTTTCAGGTAAATCAAGTAGTTATGCATTAGACCAGGAATGTTTTTATTTTGGTTATTTTGAAAGTTTTATTATTTTCAAATTGACTTTTGTATTTGAGTCACTTTTTATCAGAAGCGATGTCACATTACAGATACACTAGTTTTTTTTTTTTTTAGAAGCCTTCACAAAACTTTCAGTGTTCAGAGGAAGAGCCTTGGCCTTTCACAATGGTATAATAATAATTTCACAACACTCGTTGATAACCTTAATTCATCCTTTATCATAAACTAAGTACAGGTTAGGGTTTTCTTTGTTTCTTGAAAACATTTTGGAGATGTTGAGAGCTGTCTTTCAAATGTAATTTTCACGAAATGCCTTATGAGAGTTCTCTTGTGTACCCACAGCCATACCGGCTCTGCAGCCCATAGTCCACGACCTCTTTGTATTAAGAGGAACAAATAAAGCTGATGCAGGAAAAGAGCTTGAAACTCAAAAGGAGGTGGTGGTCTCAATGTTACTGAGACTTATCCAGTACCATCAGGTAAGAGGGACGTGTGGTGACGGTCATGGGCCCTCTACTGTCCCTGCAGAGATGGAAGGAAACACCGTGTGGCCCAGCTGTTTGTTAATCAGTGGATGTTGCTTTGTACCAGCTTTGGGCTCTCTGGGTCCTGGGCCCAGTGAGACTGAGGTTTAGTTGGTGTGTGCATTTCAAGTGGGTACTGCCACAGGAGACTGCCTGACACCTGTCTGACAGTCAAGAGCATTCAAGATAGTACATGTGATAGGGCCCTGTTTTCCAAAACCAGGATCAAAAATTAGTTAATTGATAACATTGGTCAAAATGGTAGAATTCTAAAAAACGATAGAAATCTCAAATCTGAAATAATATAAAGACTTTATTTGTATATTTATTTACCTCTGTTTTGACATGGGGTCAAGGCTTTTTTCTTTGAGTTGGTATCTGGTTGTGTTTTCCTTAAGGTAGAGTGAGAATTTAAAGCTACTTTGAGGCCGTCTAAGTGTGGAAATCTTACTTTTTAAAATAAATTATCTTTTTTAATTTGTACAATTGCCTAGCCCTCACTTGCTTTGTCAGTTCTTTGTAGCTATTTGTCTTTGAATCTTTATAAAGCCATAAGCTTTTCTCATAGAAGCAGCACTTTCTTTGTGCATTCATGTTTTAACTAATCCATGTAATATTTAATTAAATTCTTAATGCTTAATTAAATCACATGATCACAATTTAAAGATACACATAAAAGGTTTGGGAATAAGCAACTGGCAAGCAGAGCTGGGAGGGTGGGGGTCCTGGGGAGGGGCTTCTCAGCCCCTGAATTCAGTGAGATCTGGGCTTGCTTTCCAGGGAATGGAGATGGTTGGCTGATCTGGAGGGTTTATTAAGTAAAGGGTGGAACTGAGTTCCCACTGCTCATTTCTGCTGTTTTAGCACGAAAGCAGCCATAGTCAATATGTACACCAATGGTGTGACTGTGTTCCAATAAAACTTTAATTTACAAAAACAGGTAGTGAGCTGCCCCCTGTTATAGACCCAAAATTTGCCAGGTTATAAATACCTCTGTTTAGAAATGATTGCTGATGAAGTTGTGCTCAACCATGCATAACTCTTAAAAGTAAGTGCTATTCAGCAGGAGTTTACCTTAGGAAAGAACACAGTATTGAAATTAATGTTCACAAGAGTAAAAGCCTTCTGTAGAATATTTAGTTAAGGCTATGTTTGAGTTTTCCAAAGATTAATATACATTTGATTTTCAATCTTCTGACTTCTGTAGAAATAATAATGACAAGAAGTCGTCCTGAGCAAAGTGTGTAGCTTTTGTGTGCCTGGGAGGAACATGCTCCATCCCCTGTTGCATTTTCTTCTGGTTCCCCTACATTTCATATGCCACGGAGTGAGGATTGTGCCAGTTTCTTCAGACCTCATTGAGAATCCCATCTGTTTGGATCCTAGAATCTTCCAGCTGAGCTAGGACCAGTATGAGAGATGGACACATAGGCGGAAGACTTTCTAATTGTGCACAAATGCTCTTGCAGGTGTTGGAGATGTTTATTCTCGTCTTGCAGCAGTGCCACAAGGAGAATGAAGACAAGTGGAAGCGGCTGTCTCGACAAATAGCTGACATCATTCTCCCGATGTTAGCCAAACAACAGGTTTGTCATCGCAGTCTTGGTTCATTGTTGTGCAGTAATTGTAAGTAGATTAAGACCCTTGTGAAAGGTGGGTGGTTGTGATCAGCGCTTCTTTCAATTACAAGAGATGCATGCTTTGGTAATAGTTCCCAGTGCTGGTCATGGGGCTAGTGACTTTTTTATTTCTTCTCACAGTGATCCTCTCAGGTTGGTATTGTCTACCTACATTACAAGTGAGGTAACCAAGGCTCAGGGAGGTTATCAAGCTTATCCAGTGGCACACAGCTCGAAAGCGTGTGTTCTTTCCTATTTTATTACACGGTCTCCTTTATTGTGGTCAATCAAGTGTTGTATTTGATTGTTAGATTTTTGGTTTTGTTTCCTTATTACTTATAAAGTAATTTAGCAGTTATCCATCGTTTAATCAGAATTTAGATAATCAAATGATGCAACTAGTTTTTCACAAAAGCAGTGGAAGCAAATGGTATGTTTGTACCTTATAGGATGGAGCCAGACAGTCCCATGACCTCTGCACCACATGTGCCACTGGGTGTCTGAGCATAGGAAGCTGTGCATCCCTTGCAGCAATACCTCTGTAACCGGGATGAGGGGTCCTCAAAGGGAAGGGCAGCAGAGACCTGCTTGATGGTTCCACCAGAAAATCCCATGAGCTGCCTGGCAAAGCTTTTTATTTTGTTTTGAATGGTGTCAGCAGATACATGTTTGTTCATCTTGATCGTCCACACTAAACAGTTACTCTAGAGAAAACAAGCAGCTTGCGGTTCTTGGCATTTGATAAAAACTTATAGGCACATATACGGATAGTTACTACCTTCATAACTTCACTCCCATTCTGATTTCATAATGGGATTGTTATCTTGAAACGATTTAGACAATCGGGGGTGGCCGTGGTCCTGGCTTCTGGTGAGATTGACAGATAGCAGTTTAAATGTGGTCATGGACTCCAGGCCTATAGGCAGATAGTTTTAGAGTGATGCTTCAGAAGCTGTATTCCATTCTCTTACTTTTCATGTGCACAATCTGAGGAAGGTGGAGATCACAGGCCCGAATACCTAGTAATGCCTGACTTAATTTCTGTCAGTATGAAAATTGTGTGATAAAACATTTATGAAACACTTAGCACATGCTCACGCCTGTAATCCTAAAAAAAAAAAGCACTTAGCACAGAGCCTGCCAGATAGCTCAGCACAGGTGCATGTTGCATTCAGAAATAGTACAAGACACTGTCCCAAGGACTGACAGTGGATACATCCATGAGCAAAGCAGTTTACAAAAAATAGTGTGCCCTCTTGGAATGAAAGTTTTGTTGGTATTGGGGTGAGAAGACAACAGAAAAATAAATTATTGAAGTTTATAAAATGTCAGATGATAATAAGTCCTCTGCAGAAAAATTAAGGAGCTAAGAGAAATGGGTAGGATCAAGGTATGGGGCTGCACCATTCAGTTGGTAACAAACAAAGGCCTTGCTGGTCTGGTGGCATCTGAGTGGACTTAAGGGATGGAAAGGTGTGAGCCTGACAGATCCTCGGGGAAAGAGCACTCCAGGCAGAGCAAGCTGTACTGCAAAGGCCTTGAAGTGGGAATGTACCTGTCAGGGTGCCAGAGGCTGAGCTGGTGGCGTGCAGCAGCCGTGGGAGGAGCGGTGGGAGCGAGGGCCTGGGTGGGGGAGGCCAGCGTGTGGGACTTGGGACCCTTAAGAGGGACTGGTACGAGGAGTGATGTGATGGGACCCGGGTTTTTTTCAGGATTGTTCTTACTCCTGAGTTGAGAATGGACTCCAGGGGGAGGTAATGGCAGAGCAGGGAAACCCACACAAGGCCCAGTGATGGAGTGGAGTAGCCAGAAGTGGAGGTTGTTCGACATAGTGTGGGCGCAGAACAAGCAAGGTTTGCTGGTGGATTAGACATGGGAGCCAGAGGCGCTGAGAATGATTTCAGGGTGAGAACATACAGCTGTGGATGAGGTGGGTGGACAGTGGGAGCCCCAGCATGTCAGAGCCCGGTCCGATGTGTGCAGTTGAGACTCCGCAGGCTCCTGGTGAGATGAGGTCAGCTTCGGGACGTCAGAGCCTGGAATTGTTCAGGGACAGCTGGGCAGGGGATCTGGCCCACACGCACGATGGACCCAGCATAGCTGGAGAGGAAGGGCTTGAGCACTGGGCCCACTGAGTCCCAGCTCAGAGGTCAGGGGGGCGAGAAGGAGCCTGGGAAGGGACAGCCAGTGCTGGGCCGGGGGAGCGCGCAGGTATAGGGCCCTAAAGCCAAAGTAAAAACTTGTGTCTCATTGAGGATGGGGAGGGGTCAGCTGTGAGCCCGGGGAACTCAGCCCGGGTTTGGCTGCATTAAGGGCACTGCTGAGTAGTTTAGGGGGAGTAGACAGAGCCAAATCCCCATGGGAATGTGTTCCTGAAAGGACAGATGAGAGGAATTGGAAGAGATTTACTCAAAGAGGGAATGGAGAAATGAGGCAGTAGCCAGAGGAGCAAGGGGTCAGTGGGGTTCACTTGGCAGCACTGGAGCCTGCTGTCCATGGGGGCAAAGCAAACGGGGGGAAATCCACAATGCCAGGCCAGACAGAAAGCTGCCTTGGTGGTTTCTTTGAGCAGGTGCAGGGGTTAGGACCGGCTGTGGGAATGATGGTCAGTCCTTGTTGTGAACTTGGTGGGTTCTTCCAGAGCAACTGGAGAGAAGGTGGGGTTGGTGGGCACAGGCACAGATCTAGTTCAGGAGAGTCCTGGAGTGTGGAAGTTCTCTGTTGTTTCCTTATTGTTAAGGTGTGGCTCAATGCAGTTTGAGTTTCAGATCTATACATTGGAAAATACCACATCTCTTTGCAGAGTTGCTTACTGTGTAGATATACACTCAGTAGTAACAGACATTGGACATAGAATCAGGGCCCATTGTCCATAGGACATTGTGATATAAACTCAGCTTGAATATTTTACACCATTAAAAATGTTAGATTTTAAAACCAGTTGGCTTGGGAGTTCTCTGGTATACTATTAAGTGAGAAAAGCAGGGACATTTATAATAGTTTTTCAGAAGAGCTAAAACAAAAGCTCTCCCCATGCACATGTATGTGTGTGAGAGAAAGATGTTATAGGAACATGGAGAAAGTTAAGAAAGGGATATGCACCAATCTGTTAACATCTGTTACTGTTAGGTCATTAAATATCAAATGTCCAATTTCAAATCAAGTGTAGTTTATTATTTCTTAAACAAGTAGTAGTGCAATTAATCAAAGTATGTTCCTGAACTATCAACACAGTTTTGCCATCTTAACAGTAGCCTATTTATGCCAGCAGTGAAGAAGCATGGAGAGCGAGTGGTGATGAAATTGAGAAAGGCATTTTCCACAGCTTGTTGAGAATTAAATATTTTGCCTTGCAAAAAGTGGTCCAAAGCCTGGAAGAAGGGGTAGTCAGTTGGTGCAAGGTCTGGTGATTACAGTGGATGACAGAGAGTTTCCAAGTCCAGCTGCTGTAGTTTCAGCAGCGTTTGTGTGACATGTGGTCAAGCATTGTCTTGTGAAAGGATTGCCCTGTCTCTATTGACCAGTCTTGGCTGCTTAATCACAAGCATCCTCCTCATTTCATCCAACTGGTTGCAGCAGACACCTGCTATAGTCAATTGACCTGGTTCATGAAGCTGTAGTGGATAATACTAGGGCTGGACCACCAAACAGACACCATTAGATTTTTTGATGAATATTTGGTTTTGGACTGTATTTCGGCACCTTGTCTTTATCCAACCATTGTGCCGAACACTTGGGATTATCAAAAAGAGTCCATTTTTCATCACACGTAACAACATGGTGTAGAAATGTTTCGCGTTTATGTTGTGACAGCAAAGGCGAGCTTCAAGACGATTTCTCTTCTGATGCTCATTTAATTTATGTGGAGCCCATCTATCCAGCTTATTTACCTTGCCCATTTGTTTCAAATAGTCCAACATTGGTGGAATAGTAACATCAAACCTTGCTGCTAATTTCCACATAGGTTGAGATGGATTCACTGCCACTATAACTTTTAGCTCATCGTTAGCATCTTGGTTTCAGGTCACCCGTGTGGCTCATTGTCAAGATTAAAATCACCACAAGGGAACCTCTCAAACCATCGGTGTACTGTACATTCATTAGCCACATCCTTCCCAAACACTTCATTGATATTTCAAGCTGCCTGTGGTTGCATCAGTTCCACGACAGAACGTATATTCTAAAATAACATGAATGTTTAACTTATCTATGGTTTCACAAAATTTGCTTGAAAGATAATCACAAGCCAAAATGTGCGTTTGAAAGACTGAGGATGTACCTTCACAATAAACATAAAACAAGAAGTGTCAAAGTGCAATGTCAGAGATATCAGTTGTCAAACTTAGTCCTTAGGAAATCAGACATTTTATACTTAACAACCTAAATAATTAGTAGGCGAGGGGCAGGGCAGGCAAAGCACATGATAACTGTGCAGTGTCTGCTGCCCCATTCATGTGAGTGTGAGAGAGAAGATGCACAGAAGGCCAGCTCCCACTGTGATGATGATGATTCCATCGGGGTGGTGCAGTTCTAGTTGATTTTTTTCATACTTTTGTATGTTTGAATCTTTTCTAGAAAGCATACATTATTTATGTAATAAAGGTCTAAATGAAATGATTTCCATTATGGAAAAAATGTAGCTGATATAGTATTCTAAGAAATGTTTGGTTCACTACAGAACTTAAAATGCTTTTAAGTGAGGGATGGTAATGATGGGATGGTTATGCTCATTTGCCCCGAGATACATGACATGATGTGTACAAGGCTGACGTTTCTGTTGGTTTACCTGCATGTTTGCGGTGTTGCATTCCACAGATGCACATTGACTCTCATGAAGCCCTTGGAGTGTTAAATACTCTATTTGAGATTTTGGCCCCTTCCTCGCTGCGTCCCGTGGACATGCTATTACGGAGTATGTTTGTCACCCCAAGCACAATGGTGAGTCTCTCATCAGATTCCCCTGGAGGGCTTGTTCAAGCCCAGATTGCTGGGACCACCCCCATAACTTCTAAGTGAGTCAGTCACTCTGGGTGAAGCTTGAGAATTTGCATTTTTAACAATTTCCCAGGTAATACTGATGCTGCTCCTCCTCGGGGACCCTCCTTTGAGAACCACTAATAGATTTATCGGTAGAATGGGAAAGTAGGGGTAATTTTCTTTCATGAAATTGGCAATCAGGGAAAATTTTTAATCTTTTTTCCTTAGCAATAATGTGTACTTTCTTTGTTTTAGGCATCTGTGAGCACTGTTCAGCTGTGGATATCAGGAATCCTAGCCATTTTGCGGGTTCTGATTTCCCAGTCAACTGAAGACATTGTTCTTTCTCGCATTCAGGAGCTCTCCTTCTCCCCGTATTTAGTCTCCTGCCCAGTGATTAACAGGTTAAAACACGGGGGAAGTAACTCAACACCAGAAGAACACAGTGAAGGGAGACAAATGAAGAACTTGCCAGAAGAAACGTTTTCAAGGTATGCTTTCTGTCTAAGCCTGTAACTAATCCCTGCCTTTTGGGAGGTTAGATGGTGTTTCATGATCAGTAATTCTGGAATAACTCCTAGTCTTGCTTCAGCTCTGAGTTGGGTAAAGCAGTCTGTGCTGGTATACTTTTTAAATCTAGCCTTGCCTGTGGCCCTGGGTTCATACCTCCCTTAAGGTTCTGTCACATTTTGTCTCCTGTCCCCGTTAAAGATGCTACAAGAGTGGCTCAGCCCAGGCAGGGCAGGGCAGGGGGTTGGCTGTCTCGGAGGTCGGTAATAGGGGATATACATTGCCTGAAGAGAATTTAAAAACCTAAGAAAACCCATTAAAAGTCAGTCTTGTATTTATTCTTATCCTGTGCTGGTAGTTCTACACACTGTCAATAACAAAAGATATTTCCTGCTAAGGCAGACAGCTTCCACTGTATACCTGTCATATCAAATCCTATCTTGCCCATAAATTATTTGGAAGCTCCCTGAGGACAGTGTTTACAGTTCGGGCACTTGTAAATGTTAGTTGTGTGGACAAGTATCTGTGCACCTCTGCTGGAATCAGAGCATTTAGTGAGTTAGAGCTGCTTCTGCAAAGGCACTCCTTCTGGTCCCCATAACTTCATTGCAGCTGTCCCTTAGTTTGTCATCAGTGGACATTCCTTGTGCTGTTGCTGAATATAAAGCCTGGAACCCGCAGGGCATCCTTCTGTTTGCAGGGTTAGCAGGCAGCCTATGGCTCTCCCTCTGTTACATTGAAGCTGGTGGCTAAAACTGATGACACATTAAATTCCTGTGGTAGATTATTAGCTTGTGTTTATGTAATGCTTTACAGTTTACAAAGCTTTAAAAAAATACCCATGTCATTTTATCCCAACAGTCCTTTGAAGGTGGTATGATTACTGCCATTTCATAAATGAGGAAGATAATATGCAGAGAGGCAAAGTGACAGAGTCCAAAATGATGCTATTAAACATTTCACTTTAACTTTGTTTATCATACTTTCCCTGTGTTTTTACTTCATCTGAATTTGCTGTATGTATTTTACGTTTATACCTGACGTAAGTGCTCTATAGTAGTCACCTAATTCACTGTCATCCTTTTCCCTTTCTTGGAAGGTTTCTATTACAACTGGTTGGTATTCTTTTAGAGGACATTGTTACAAAACAGCCAAAGGTGGAAATGAGTGAACAGCAACATACTTTCTATTGCCAAGAGCTAGGCACGCTGCTAATGTGTCTGATCCACATCTTCAAGTCTGGTAGGTGAATCAGATTAGTCTTTGTAGACCAGCAGTCTCCAACCTTTTTGGCACCAGGGACTAGCTTCAGGGAAGATAGTTTTTCCACAGACTGGGGGGTGGTGGGGAGAGTTTGGGGATGATTCAAGGGCATTACATTTATTGTGCAGTCAAACATCTCTGCTAATGATAATCTGTATTTGGAGCCACTCCCCAGTGCTAGCACCACTACCTCAGCTCCACCTCAGATCATCAGGTATTAGATTCTTATAAGGAGTGCGCAATCTAGATCCTTCACATGCGCAGTTTACAGTAGGCTGATGTTCCTGTAAGAATCTAGTGAGGCCGCTGATCTGACAGGAGGTGAAGCTCAGGTGGTGATGCAAGTGATGGGGAGCAGCTGGAAATACAGATTAAGCTTTGCTTGCTAGCCTGCTGCTCACCTCTTGCTGTGTGGCCCGGTTTGTAACAGGCCACGGACTAGTACTGGTCTGCATCCTAGGTGTTGGGGACCACGGTTATAGAGTGTCTCAACAGTCCCTGTCCTGCACTGGACAGTCCCAGAGTGTAAGGACCATTCTGCCCAGTAGAAGCCCTGCTTTACTCAGTTGCCAGTTGAAAATGTTTGGTTGGTAATAAAACCATAGGGGTCATATAACATATGACCCAGAGTTCCGGTCTTGGACATACACCCAAAAGAATGGGAAGCAGGGTGGTGAAAAGATATTTGTATGCCAATGTTCATAGCAGCATTATTCATAATAGCTAAGATGTGGAAGCAACTCAAGCATCAGTCGATGGATGAATGGATAAACAAAATCTGGTACACACATACAGTGGAATATTATTCATTCTCAAAAAGAAGTGAATTCTGACACATGCTGCAACGTGGATGAACCTCGAGGACATTATGCTAAGTGAAATCAACCAGTCACAAAAAGACAAATACTGTATGACACCATTTATATGAGATACAGTGGTCAATTCATAGAGACAGAAAGTAGAATGGTGGCTGCCAGGGGTTGGGTGGAGAGGGGGAAATGGGGAGTCACTGTTTAATGGGCATAGAGTTTGTTTTATAAGATGAAAAGAGTTATTCTAGAAATGGGTGGTAGTTATGGTTGTACAACATTATAAAAGTATTTGATACTAGCAAACCGTACATTTAATGGTTATTATAATCGTAAATTTTATGTTGTGTATATTTTACCACAATAAAAAAAGATAAGGAAAAAAGAGTAAAGCTGAGAGCTTCCTACTGTTTTGTTTTATTTTATTTATTTCATTTATTTTATGTGATGTCATGTCATGTCATTTCATATTATATTATTTTTTGAGACAGAGTGTTGCTTTGTTGCCAGGGCTAGAGTGAGTGCCGTGGCGTCAGCCTAGCCCACAGCAACCTCAAACTCCTGGGCTCAGGCAGTCCTCCTGCCTCAGCCTCCCAAGTCACTGGGACTACAGGCGTGAGCCACCATGCCGGGCTAATCTCTTGTTTCTATTTTTAGTTGACTGGCTAATTTTTTTTCTATTTTTAGTAGGGACGGGGTCTCGCTCTTGCTCAGGCCGGTCTCAAACTCCTGAGCTCAAGCAATCCTCCCCCCTCAGCCTCCCAGAGTGCTAGGATTACAAGCATGAGCCACCGCGCCTGGCCCTTCCTCCTGTTTTAAAGGTTCGGAAGGCCAAAATGTTTTTACCTTCACAAATGATCAGGCGCTAAAAAGGGCTTTCTCCCAAGAGAGGAAGTCACAAGATGCCAGCTGTCAACAAGCATAAGAAGCAGCCAATCCAAATTAGGACAGTCACTGTTTTCTAAAAAGAATGAGTGTAGAAAGATTGCCTTGCTTTCAGTAAATGATTAAGAAGCTGGTAGATTAGTTATAGGGGGCAGGCATATCTTTCTTCTCTCAGCAAGGAAAAAGAAAGGCAATTCTAATATCTAGGAAAAACAAACAGCAATAAATTATGGTTTAAATATGAAGCAAACTAAATCATGGCTTGATTTTCAGCACTCGATTTTGATGGAAGACCTTGATACTAAAAATGTTCTCCTTTACGTGGCTCGGGTCATGACTGAGGACCCCCATAGAAAGAGATGCAGTCCTTCTAGGGTCTTTGGCTCTGCTGGGAGGTGATTTACATAGTCATAGTGTAAATGCTATTTGAGCTTTCATTTTTTGAATCAATAGGTGAATAAAACACTGAAGATATAATGACTTAATTATGGTTTCAGAACACAATGAAAATGTTTTCAGTTCTGACAAATATAAAAGGAAAACTACCCAAGTTAATTTGGAATGTAGATGATAGAGGAAGAGGTGGGGAATGGAAGGGGACTAATATTCTCATCTTGCATTGTTGGGGTTATGCCATAACATCTACAGTTCTAACAAATTCTAACATCACCTAGAATTTTGGAGGTGACTACTAGAAGAACAAAAAACATGGTAACAAGTGATGATAACAAGTAGTTACTTTAAAGAGACATGGGGCAGGGCACTTGTACGATCAGAAGCCCCTCTCTGTTATTTGGTTTTTACAGACATTTTAAGTACATACCCTCAGAGTAAAAGGTAGACCTAGCACGTGGCCTGCCTCCATGCTAGCAGGCTCTGGGCCTGCTGTGTTGTATCCTCCTGTGTGGCTCAGGGTGGCTACTATCCCATTGTGTTGAATTCCTCTTCTTCCTTCTCTCAAAAACAGGGAAAATATTTTTACTTTAATAAAAGTGTTGTCCAATAGAATTTCCAGCAAAGATGGGAATGTTCCATGTTGCACTGTCTCATCTAGTTGCCTCTAACCACGTGTGTTATTGTGTATCTGACATGTGGCTAGTGTGATTGAGGAACTTACTTTTTAATTTTATTCAGTTTTAATTAAATTTAAACAGTTCCACGTGGCTAGTGGCTCCCATATTAGACAGGGTAGGTCAGTTGAGGAGCCATACACTGCACTGGAAAGAGCAGGCTTGGTAGAAGGATTTTGCTGCTAGTGTTTTGGGACATTGTTTTAATTGGTCCAACATTTCCAAATACATTTTGTGTTTGTGCATATGTATAACTGTCTATTTCTAGTTCCTTGGTTAGTTTGACTGCATTTCTCTTAAAGACACTAGGCAGCAGACTTCTTGTATTTGGTTTCAAGAGAGAGTTGAAGCAAATCATTTTGTACTTATGTAAATAAGATATACTTAGCATATAAAAGTGGAACTTCATATACTCTGGTTTCTCTTCAGATAAATCTTTTCGCCTTTTACTAAAAGTGGTAATTTGTATTTTTGCACTGCTTAAGCCAAGGTAATGAATTCCACCCATCCACTGAAAATTGAGACCTTTAAATTTGTCCACTTCAGGTATAATTTCTTAAAATAGAAACTATTAATAGTCTGAATAGTAGCCTTCACTTCTAGTTTTCTGCTCCCTGTCTTGCTGGGTGAGGAGGGTATTTATCCTCAAGTTGTTTGCTTATTTCACATTCAATCCAGTGTAAGCAGAACAGCCAAGAAAGATACCTGTCCACCAGTTTACAAAATCTGGGGCAACTCCCTCTCTCTTCCTCCAAAATAGACCCGTTTAGAAACAGATGGTGGGGACAAAGACGTGAGGGTGAGAGTGTCAGTTGTGTGTGTTGTTGGTGCAGCTGCATTAACGCTCTCTGGCCTGCGGCCTCAATCAGGCTTCCTCACTTGGCTAACCACATGTCTCAAGTACACACTTTGTGCCCTTTCCCTACTTGCCATCCAGATGCTTACCCAGTCAGGGGAAGCAGGGGCTGCTGCTTCGTCCTCTTTGAGTCCTGTGCGTGGGCAGTGGAGATGTGCCATGCACCATGGGGAAGAAGAAACGGGCAGGAGGCTGGCACTGCATACTCACCGCTCCTTCCAGGCACGGGTGGGAGGCTGGGCCAGAGCTCTCTTCCCTGTGCTTTCAAAAGGGTCACTGTTTCCACTTTATGGGTAAAGTAGGAGCACTGGAAGAAAGAGAAAGCAGTCCTTCCTAGAGTAATAAAATTGTTCATGCTTAGGCAAGGACAAGGGCTGCTAATAGTTATAATGCTGGGATTAATGGTGTTCTCTTGTAGGTATATAGTCCCTTTTGCCTGTATCATCCCAATTAACAGAATAACTCTGAAATATTTTCCCCTATCTATTGATGAGGGAACTTAGGTTCTGAAAGGTTATATGGTAAAACCAAGAATGAAAACCCCAAATTTTTTTCTTGCCCATTGTTCTTTCTGTTATACCAGGCCACTTCTTGGGTTGATGGCAGTAAGTATAGCAGCTCACATTTGTAAAGCACTTACTCTAGGTCCAGTCACTGTGTGGGTTATGAGGAGGAGAGACAGTTGTGTCCATAGTGTAGCTACAAGACTGAGCTTCAGAGAGATCATTGATGTATGAGCCTACATGGTGGAGTTGGGAGGCATCCTGTCTCCAGAGCCTGAGGTCTGCATACCTCATCCTGCCTGCTTTGAAACAGCATCCTGCCAGGCCCAGTAGCTCACACTTGTAATCCCAGCACTTTGGGAGGCTGAGGCAGGAGGATTGCTTGAGGCCAGAAGTTTGAGATCAGTCTGGGCAACATAGTGTCTCTACAAAAAATAATAAAAAAAATAGCTAGGTACGATGGCACCTATAGTCCCAGCTACTTGGGAAGCTGAGGCAGGAGGACTGCTTGAGCCCAGGAGTTTGAGGTTGCTGTGAGCTGTGATGATGCCACTTCACTCTACCTGAGTGACAGAGTGAGACTGTATTAAAAAAAAAAAAAAAAGCAGCATCCTTTATTTCCAATTCCTGCTTCCTTTATTACTTTTGATATTTCTTTTTTTTAGCTCCCAAAACACAGGGTGAGGAAAGATGTGGTTGACGCTCAGGTTGTTCCTCTGAGCACAGCCCCATCTGTCGTGCTACCTCACTACTCTTCTTCACTGCTGTGGTTTTCTCTGGGCTCTCAGCCCCTTTCTCTTCTCCTGGGTCCCTGGGGCTCCCCTTGTGTCCCCTGCCACCTTCACAACCCACAGGCCCTGCCGGCTTTCTCTCTGTCTCAGACAGCTGGTCATTGCTACTTGTGACACGAGGAAGGAAGGTTCTGCTAGAAAGCATCTTGTAACCTCAGCCTCAGTATTGCTGTTGTATTAGTTAAGGTGATGGTAGCTGCTGTAATAAATAAATGCCAACATTTCAGTGGCTTCACACAACAGAAGGTTGTTTTTTGTTTTTGTGGCAGTGCATGGAGGGTGTTTCTGGTTCACCTGTGGCTTTCATCCACATGGGAATTCAGGGACGTGGACTCCTTCCTCCTTGTGGTTCTGCTGCTCCCCAAGCCTCAGCATCCTGTGTTCAGTTGGGGAAGAAGAGTGGGAAGAGAGAGAAGCCTATATTGCTTTGGATGGAGTGTGACATGCATCCTTTGCTTGTGTTTCTCTGGTGATGCCTTGTCATGGACCCACCCCCATTCCCAGAGACTGGGAAGTACTATCCTGGTTGGGTGGCTGTAGTCTCTGATACAGTTTACCAGAGGGATAAAAACAGGTGATTTCAGGATGACGAAAGCAGAGGAACCCTTGGAAGGAGGGGACGAGGCAGGTGTCACAGTGGGGTTAGTGCTGGCTTGCTTAAGGGTGAGCCACCTGGAGCAGAGCTTTCTAAGGCCTTTACCAGTCCTTCCGACGTGCCCACATTGGGTCCAGGCTCCAGTTCTGCAGCAGGGGTCCACCCCCACTCTGCAGAGAGGAAATGGACCCTTCTCTTGCATGCTCATCCAGTTCTTCCTCCTCTCCTCCTCGGAAGGGCAGTTGGGCTCCTCACATCTCAACTCCTGATAGAAGTGGACCACTTGGCCCTTTCCCCACGGCTAACCTTGTACTTTTGCTGTCTTCCCCTCCACTCTGGTATCTACTTTCCTAAGGTTACATCCTTCTGGTTTGTCTTGAATTTTTCCTTTATGTGCTAATTTTTGTTTTGTTTTTGAGACAGGGTTTTGCTCTGTCACCCAGGCTGGAGTGCAGTGACATCATCACAGCTCACTGTAACCTTGAACTCCTGGCCTCAAGTGATCCTCCCTCCTAAGCCTCCCAAATAGCTGGGACTATAGGCCCACACCACCATGCCCAGCTAATTTTCTTTTTTTTTGCAGAGGTGGGTTCATGCTATGTTCCCCAGGCTGATCTCAAACTCATGGCCTCAAGCAGTCCTGCCTCAGCCTCCCAAAGTGCTGGGATTACAGGCACGAGCCACCACACCTGGCCACATTTTTAAATATCCATTGCATGCTTACTGCAGGGAAACATCTATTTCTTGTTTTTCCTTTCTTGCCTGTAGCTTCTCTTTTGCCTATAGCCACACTAATAACCCAGACTAAAATTAAAAACACATACTTTCTCTGCTGTACTGCTTCCTTAATTATTGGTCTATTCTTCTCTTTTATACTACACAACTTTTCAAAATAAATGTCTCAGAAATTTATTCTTGTTGCTTCTAGTGGTTTGTTTTCCCTCTTGTTTCTCATCCAAGGCAGTCCGCCTCTTGCCGTTGTTACCAAAAATGCCTTCATAGAGGCCAACTGTGTTCTTTTCTGAGTCCTTATCTTCCTGGGCCTTCAGCTTGGTTCAGTGGAACTGCCCTCTTGTCACTTGACCACTTTCATGGTCTGCTTTGTCCAGCCTCTTGGTCATGTATGTTCCCTGCGTGTCTGTCCTTGGTCTCTCTCCTCTGCATGCATACTTGCCCCCACCCCTTAATCTCTTTCTCTCCCCCATCTCTGCCTCCTTCCTGTACCTTGGTAGTGCGTCCCCTTTGTGACCTTGGTTATTGCTTGTGTGGATGCCTCTCCTAACCACACAGTCCTGAATAGTCAGTCTCCCATTTCCATCCAACTTCTAGACACATGACTTGCTATTCTGCCAATACCTCAGACTTGTGCTTAAAATCGCACTGGCCCCTAGCGTAGCTGTTATTCTCCAGGGTCAGTGTTTATCACTGGGGTATTCAAAATCCCAACCTCATTGTCAGCTCCTCTCCCTGCCCCATTGAGCCTGGCCTGCCCTCCTCCTCTCCATTTATTGTGGCACTGCCCCCCCCCAAGTCCATCTCGCCTTTCATCTGAACTATTCCTAATATTATTCCAACAGCAGCAGCAGCTGCAACCCCAGGTGTTGAGCATTTCCTCTGTGCTAGGTACTATGCTGAGCCCTTTACTTGGCTTTTACTATTTGATCCTTATTGCAGCCCTGTGACAGGAACTGCTCTTAATTCCATTTCACAGATGAGGAAGCTGAGGCCCCAGGTGAGGTATGTCCAGGGTCACCCAGGTAGTAAATGGCAGAGCCACACTCAGTCACCTAGAACACAGCTGACTGTGGTTTTCTAGTACCTGCCCCAAACCCCTACATCCCTACACGTGGTCTGTCCCTACATGTGCTCCACGGCCGGGCTCCAGAATTCCTTCCAGCCAGCACGTGCCTCTTCATGTGTGTTTGTTGACCCCACTAGGAGCCCGTGCAATAACAGAGGGCCAAGAGAAGGATAAGGCCAGTGCTGGCTGGACTGGAATGGGCAATGCTGACTGCAGAACAAGGGTAGAGAAACCCAGGAAGCCAGATGGGCCAGAGGTAGTCGTTGGAACTCCTCATGCTTCCTGTGACTTTGTTCTCTCAGTGTCATGCTTTTGCTAGCTCTCTTCTTTTTCCTTAGGTTATAGGTCTAATGGATCATGATGTCATAAGAAATCTGTAGTCTGTTTTTGCCTATTTGGAGACCCTTTCACATTTGGGATATGTTGAAATGTAGATTAGAAAAAAGATTTTGACTCCAGCAGGGATGCCAGGAGACCCAAATATGTTGTGATGGGGTCTTTCTGTGCCCTGTGGCTCACCGCCTGTCCCTGCTGTGCTTCACAGTGTGTCTCTGTGTCCTTGGACAAGGGTGCAGAGAGAAGCGTGTTGAGCTGACTTGTGTTCTTCCAAAGGAGTGGATGGGGATAGAGTGAAATCATAATTCCCAGAGGGAATTTTTCCAGTCTCTGAGAAGGATATTATGGAGGAACTTGTGGGCAGAGCCTAACTGGTTGTGTTGCCAGTGTTGAGTATGGTTGGCTGACCCCGGGGCCTGCCTGATCACAGGATGCTCCATGGCCCAAGGGGCAGAGGCTACCTGGCTCTCGGTTGTCAGTAACCTGCAGAGAGCATGTGGGAGCCCAGGACTGGTGTGGGCACTGTTTGTTGTAATCTCTCGGCACTCATGGTGCCCATGTGGCCTCTTACAGTATTGCTGCCCCTCAGTTCTTAGCAAGCCAAGGAATCGTTTATCATGGTAGACTCAGGCCTGCATTGCTGTGGCCTCAGTGCAGCGACCGGAGGTGCTCAGTGGTGGCTGCCTCCTTCTCGAGGAGCTGTGTCCAGACTTTGGTGGCACAAAGTGAGGCCTCTTGGCTTGGAACTCCTGGAGGATTTGCAGGGTCAGCCAGTGCTGGGGAGGATAGTGGGAGAGTAAGGACACCAGCTTCCCTGGCCGATCCTTTAAATAAGTGGGATATCTGTTTCTGCTTATAAAAGTGAGAATTTCTAAGTGCCATGTGGTGTTGGAACGAGATGAACAACAAAGACATTTCCCCGTAATCAGCCTCACTTTGTTTGGTTCTAGGAATGTTCCGGAGAATCACAGCAGCTGCCACTAGACTCTTCACCAGCGACGGCTGCGACGGCAGTTTCTACACCCTGGAGAGCTTGAACCTGCGGGTGCGCTCCATGGTCCCCACACACCCGGCCCTGGTGCTGCTCTGGTGTCAGATCCTGCTGCTTGTCAACCACACCGACCACCGCTGGTGGGCAGAGGTGCAGCAGACCCCGAAGTAGGTCCATGGGGCCCCAAAGCTCAGGGCACCGCCCACCACTCTGTTCTAAGGCCCCCACTAACCTGAGGTTGGGCCGATATTAAGGCATTTTCATTTTCCATTTTTCGTGAGGGTTTGTGAAATTCTGCTGCATATTAATCTTTCTTTCATGGACATCATATGGTAGAGGAAAAAATGTCGTCTGACTAAAGGCATTCAAAATGGCAATTGCTTTTTAAATGTGATTTTTTTTGAGAAGTTCTTTGACACCATTCCATCTTGTGGGATATTCTTGTCATGCTGTATGCCTCCCGCTAAGTTGTAGTCTATAAATTGATTCCATAGCCAGCCATGTTGCAATGTTTTAACTTCATTGTAAGTTAAATGTGGTTCTGGTTATTCTTAGATAATGAAGTAATTATTTAGCAAATTTCAAAACTGTTTGGAAATACGTTATTTTTTAAAATTATTCAAAAGACTTATTAAGTTTCTGGGCTGGGTGCTGTGGCTCACACCTGTAATCCTAGTACTCTGGGAGGCCGAGGCAGGAGGATCGCTTAATCTCAAGAGTTCAAGACCAGCCTGAGCAAGAGCGAGACCCCAAAAATAGAAAATATTAGCCGGGCGTGGTGGCATGTGCCTGTAATCCCAGCTACTCAGAAGGCTGAGGCAGAAGGATTGCGTGAGCCCAGGAGTTTGAGGTTGTGGTGAGCTGTGATGACACCACTGCACTCTACCCAAGGCAATAGAGTGAGACTCTGTTTCAAAAAACAAACAAACAAAAATTCTGATGGTGGGTGGCCGTGCTTTTGTAAAATGTTTTTAGGTTTAAGCTCGGTTTCTAGGTGCTCATTCACTCAGACATTTGTACATGTGTGAAAATAAAAGCTGTGACCCTCGCCCCCAGCTGAGTCCTCAGTGCAGTGTTTTGGAAGGCTCAAGAGCCTGCCCTGGGGAGATGAGTTCCAGAAACAAAAGAGTGCATGTGCTGTCAGCGCCTCTGCTTGGTCCAGGACTGGGCTATGTGAGGCTGGGGTCCTGACTGCACCAGGCACGAGCTCAACTGGAAAGTCCCCTGTTGGGGGCATCATCAGCTGTCTGCCCTGCGCTCTGCGTAATGGGGCCAAAACCATTCAGCTGGAGGAGACAGACCTGAGACAACATTCCAAATGCTCAGAGGACACCGGAAGCCTGTCGCAGTTACTGAGTACTGTGAGAGCCAGGTGATGGAAAGTCAGTGTCTCCTACTCTGTGCTGCTTAAACGTGCATCAACTGTGGGCCGATTGGGATAAGATTCAGATTCAGCAAATCACTCCTTTTCTGGTGTATGTGCCTATTGACTCTGATATTATAGCAAACACTCTGGGAGTTGTGTCCCCTGAATTGGAGAACACAAATGCTTAACAAGACAGCCAGCATTTAAAAGAAATAAACCAAAAGCGAATATAGTCTGGAATTTGGCAGGTGTCCCCTTCAGCTATTGAGGGCAAACTCCAGCTTTACACGAATGCAGGGACCTTGCTGCGTGGTGGAGCTTCTTGACCATGTCTGACCCAGTTTTCCTTTTTAAATGTTTGTGGTGGTCCCCCGTTACCCTGAAATAAAGTCAAAGGACTAATGGAGTTGTGTTTTTTTTTTTGAGACTGAATCTCACTCTGTTGCCCGGGCTAGAGTGAGTGCCATGGCGTCAGCCTAGCTCACAGCAACCTCAAACTCCTGGGCTCAAGCAATCCTTCTGCCTCAGCCTCCCGAGGGGCTGGGACTACAGACATGTGCCACCATGCCTGGCTAATTTTTTCCATATATTTTTAGTTGTCCGATTAATTTCTTTCTACTTTTGGTAGAGACGGGGTCTCACTCTTGCTCAGGCTGGTCTTGAACTCCTAAGCTCAAACAATCCGCCCGCTTCGGCCTCCCAGAGTGCTAGGATTACAGGCGTGAGCCACCACGCCCGGCCAAGGACTAACGGAGTTTTAACCTATCTACACTTAAATTTCATAAAGATATAGTTTCTTAATGGTACTATAAAGAAGATACTATAGCCTGAGGATTATAGTATGTAAGTGCTTAAAGTCTCCCTGTGTTTGAAGGAAAAAAAACACCCCCAGAAATGTCCAAAGTACTCCCTATGGAACAGGACTGTTCCTGTTTAAACCCTGCTCTTAGGACCATGTTTCTCCAGCTCTGTGTAGTGGGCGATGAGAATTTTTTATTTCCACAAGATAAGAAAAATGAACCACTAGAAGTATGAAATACAAAACAGAGCACTGTTTGTTGTTCGTGAACTCAGCAGCTGTGAGGTTGCTCTCCAGTTGTTGCAGACACTGCTCATGCTCACCCATGACCCCCTTTTGGCCTTTGCTTGTCTCATCCCAGGCCACTTGTGGGTGGGGCTGGTTCTCAGGCCACACTGGGTGCTGTGCTGCAGGAGGTCCCCATGTGGACTCTGCTCTCGTCTGGTCTTTTCTGTGCTCTGTCAGCACAGATTTATGGTTTGCTTTCAGTCTGTCTTACCTTTGATGGACTGTTAGGCTCCTGTCCCTACATTGGCACTTGTAGGTATAGTGTGGCCACATGTGACGGGCTGGTCACTTCCCCACTTGTCTCATTCTGAGCACTGCATGTGTAGTTAGCCTGGATTGGGGACGTTCGTTCGCCACCAGTATCTGGCCTGAGGTTTTGGGGGCATGTGCTGCAACAGACTGGGGCTAAATTGGAGTTGACGTAGGACCTTCTTTATGTCTACTGCTAATACTCGAATTACAAATACTACCTCTTCTCTTTCAGAGGCTCTTTAGCCTTTAGCTATATTATTACAAAATGAAAAATTACAGCTGAGCGTAAGCACACTGAAGCTGGTAGTACAGCTGACTGAGCAAAGACAGGTTTTCTGTTCATTAGGTTTTTAATTGACATATAATTTACAGTACAGTAAAATGCACTCTTTGTACCAGCTATGGTTAGGTCACCCTATCACATCACGATATAGAGCAGTGCCTTCCTGAGTGTCCCTTGGTAGTTACTCCTCCCTTGACATGCCCAGCCCCTGCCACAGGGAACCACTGGTCCATGCCGTCTCTCTATTTAGCCCATTGCAGAAGGCCGTAACAGTGCAGTCATACAGGGTGTAGCCTTTTGAGTCTGACTTCTTTCACTGAACACAATGTATTTAAAATTCATTCATGTGGTTGCACGAATATGTATCAGTGGTTTGTTCCTTGTGGTTGCTGAGCGGTGTTCTATTATATGGCTCTGCCTCGGTTTGCTTATCCATTCACTGGTTGAAAACAGAAATGGCAGTTCAATAACATTGTAAATCTGTAGGAATTTTTTTTTTTTTTTTTTTTACCAGTTCTCTTCTGAATTCTGAGGGATTGAAGGAAAAGTTGACATATTTCAGAATATTCTTGCCCTGATGTGACCTCTGTATGTCCCCATAAAGGCTCTTTGCCGCCACAGAAAGGGTGTTATTCGAGGTCAGACCCTGAAGTCAGAGGGACAGTTTGGGAGTGTGGCAATAATTGTTTTAAGTGCTTGGACTAGAATCAAGGGTCTCAAGGTTTATAATTCCCATCTATTCAAAAAGAAAAAGACGAAGTGAGAAGAAGTAAATATGAAGTGAAATAATCTTAATTAGTGGAGAAGAAATACTTTTAAACAATGTTTCCATAATTATAATATATGCACTATACATATTTTAGAGTGATGTTTTGGTGGGAAATGTATAGTAACATATAAAAGATGAAGGTTTTCTTTCTGGCAGATGGGGAATTTCAAAGACAATTGCTTGGTTATCAAACATAGCTAGTATAAATTCTGAAATAAAAGTGCTTATTGAATGTTCAGCTTTATGGTGGATTTTGCCTTTTAGTCAAGCATTTTAGTTTTCTGCCTATTCTCTATTTTCTTTAGTTTTTCAGCTTTGGTTTATCGTAGCTCAGAAATAGATAACTGAGAGTATATATTACACATGCATCATTCTGATATGGCAATACTTAAAATAACTTGTCTGTTTTAGAACTAAAATTAAACATAATCATCTTCAGTATTTTGCAAATAAGCTCACTGCCATCCAGAAATATTGTCAATGCATCTGTTGCTCCTTCTAGAAGACACAGTCTGTCCAGCACGAAGTTACTTAGTCCCCAGATGTCTGGAGAAGAGGAGGATTCTGACTTGGCAGCCAAACTTGGAATGTGCAATAGAGAAATAGTACGAAGAGGGGCTCTCATTCTCTTCTGTGATTATGTTGTAAGTTTGGAAATGCTGTAAACAGGGCTGGGAATGGGCCACCAGAGGACACCCCATGTAGAGGATGCTCATACGGATTCTCTGGAAACCAGACGGCCCAGCGTCCTGCCAGTGCCGCCAAAATTGAAATACCAAATTAATGTTTAATCCTGCTCTGACATGTAGTTAGAAACCAGGCCTGGCCCTCCAGCCACTGGATTGTGGTCTATGAAGGGTTTCATTCAACTGTCACTCATTCAGCAAACATCTAGTAACTGCTCGGTGCCATACGTAATGCTGGGCATTTTTGTTAATTTGAGGGAAACAATGTAATAATAATTTAAAAAACAAGCTAATTCATAACACAAATGGTAAGTGCCTGAGGTGATGAATACCTCAATTAACCCTGATTTGATTAATTCACATTGTATGTCTGTATCAAAACATCACATGTACCCTATAAAAATGTATAAATATTATGTACCCATAATAATTAAAAATAAAAATTTTTTAAAAATAAAAAACAAGCTAAGTGCATTGACTATAGTGAGATTCTGATTTTTGAAAATTAATCTGTAGAAAAGGTATTAGATGTCCATTGCTGCATTTTAAAATAGATTGCTGTCAGGTGTGGTGGTGTGTACCTGTAGTCCCCAGCTACCGGGAGCCGAGGTGGGAGGATCACTTGAACCCACGAGTTTGAGACTCCAGTGAGCCATGATTGCACCTGTGAATAACCACTGCACTCCAGCCTGTGCAGCATAACGAGACCCTATCTCTAAAAAAAAAAAAAAATATTCAACCTGTTTGAATGCCATTCTTTTTAAAAAATAACTTTAATGGAGTTTCTACCCTAAAACTAGCATAGCATTACACATTTGCCATGGAGAATTTACAAAAACCAAATAAATAAACAGAAGAAAAAAAATCTCCTGTAATTATATTACTCAAAGATGATTTGCTATTACATTTCAGTCTCGATTTAATACTTTTTCCGTACCTATAGAAAAGCATGTATTTCTTTGTTACAAACATGGCCATGTTGTGTATATTGCTGTCATATAGCAAAACAATGTTAAATATTCTGAATCAGAAAAGGAAGTAGACTTCAGCTGCACAAGGCGTTATAGAGATTTTTTGTGAGGATAGCAATTTATTAATATTCACCTTTTGCTTTTCATTCTCAATGTTGAAATAGTTTTTCTATCTTGTTCCACTTTAGAGAAATAATTTAGTCATATAATGCTGGTTTTCACAGAAATGTAAGAAAAAGAGATGTTAATTCTATAAGTTAATACAGGTTGAGCATCCCAAATTCCAAAATCTGAAATCCAGAATGCACCAAAATCCAAAACTTTTTAAGCACTGACATGATGCTCAAAGGAAACGCTATTTGAGGTTTTCAGATTTCTGGATATGGAATGCTCAATTGGTAAGTTTAATGCAAATATTCCAAAATCTGAAACTCAGAACACTTCTGGTCACAAGTATTTCAGATAAGGGTTTCTCAACCTGTACTGTCAAATGATCCCAAATGAAATATCTTAATCATTACCCAGATGTCAAGAAATTGATTTAGAAGGATTACGAAATAAGATGAAAAGGCTACACATTTAAGAATGGATTATTTTTTATTTCCTTTTAAATCTTAGTTGAAATTTTTTACTTAAGATCCATTTAATTTGGGGGATCCATTTATATTTTGGATTCAGGAATTCTTTCGAAACCGTGGCAGTGATAGTGAATTCTTTTTTTCCAGTAAACTTTTACAAAATTGGAGAAAGAGTCACTGGAGAACAACCCTGAGAGGCTAGCCCAAAGCCCAGGAGGGAGCGGGAAGTGCCATGGACAGGAACAGCCTGATGCTCCTGGCCAGTGGCTTGTGAGGGTGGCAGCATGCTGCCCCAGCCACCTTGCTGTCCTAGGATCACACTGGGGCTCACCTGCGTCCTCCAACCTTTGGCCATTTGCCAAATTTGTCTCTGGGAGCTGGGCTGCTATACCCCACTTCCCCAGCGGGGTCTGACTTCATACTGCTGCAGTGCAAGGTTGGAGGTGACGGGCTCTATAAATTGAGTCTCCTGCCTCTTCAATTATTTGTGCTCAAACATTATCTTTTTGGTGAGGTTTATATTTGGATTCTCCTTATCCTTTCTGGTCTTTTCTATGGCATTAGTATCTGTTCTCGTGTACTTGAAAATGACTTTTTCATTGTATTTTTCTTCAGTGTCAGAACCTCCATGACTCAGAGCACTTAACTTGGCTCATTGTGAATCACATTCAAGACCTGATCAGCCTGTCCCACGAGCCTCCGGTACAGGACTTTATTAGTGCTATTCATCGGAATTCTGCTGCCAGCGGCCTATTCATCCAGGCAATTCAGTCCCGTTGTGAAAATCTTTCATCCGTAAGTCTTCATACTGCCAACTATTGCCAGTCACAGTTTTCTCTGCCCTAAAAGTGGAGTACTAGAATTTTTAAAGTGCTAATTTCCAACTGGCATAATAATCATCTCTTGTTCCTTTGCTTCCTCCAATGTTAGCCGACCACTCTGAAGAAGACTCTTCAGTGCTTGGAGGGGATCCATCTCAGCCAGTCGGGTGCTGTGCTCACGCTGTATGTGGACAGGCTTCTGTGCACCCCTTTCCGAGTGCTGGCTCGCATGGTCGATATCCTGGCCTGTCGCCGGGTAGAAATGCTTTTGGCTGCAAATTTGCAGGTACTGGGAAAAACACCCTGATAGTGATTTATGTTGAAAACTTAGCAGGGCAGGCAAAACGGTTGGCTGTTCTTTTTTCTCCATAGGCATGGTCTTCACGTGGCCACTGATAGAAATATGCGTAACATGCACAAACATGTCATTCCTTATGTATCTGATCTTTTCTTATATTAATACTTGTTTCTAGTCTGCCACTTGCTAAGCTAATCTGTACACAACAGTTTATCCTTTTTAAGTGAGTGGAGGCTATTTTGGTCCAGTATGTGTTATCTGGTTCACTGTGTTCCACTTTAGAGCAGCACGGCGCAGCTGCCAGAAGAAGAGCTCGGCAGAATCCAGGAGCACCTTCAGCGCAGTGGGCTCGCCCGGAGGTAATGCCAGAAACCTTAGTTTCAGATCACCTGGGATGGAAAAGATATAGGTTTGTATAGGAATAAATTCACAGGACGAGAAACTGATGTGCTTTATAGATGGGTTTACTGCAGAAGAGCCACAATAGAAAGCCTTCCTACACTTAAAACAACTGAATCTCATTGTATAAAAAGCAAGAACCAACTGACATGTCACTACGTAACATGGAGGGAGGCTGCTCGCATTCCTTTGGCCGTTTGAGAGGCAGCAGTATTCATATGGCCTCTCTTCACTGACGGGTGAAGTATGAGAGTGGGAATGCAAGTCATCAGCTTTACCCTCGCAAAATCATAGCACGTAATCAAGCTGCTAAGTAAGAGTTGGCAAATCTGAAAGACATTACCCAATTCTTGGCATGTAAGAATTACATCTTGTTAAAATTATCTCTCCATAGCTATTTAATCACCTACTTTTGTTTGCAAAGTCTTTTATAAGCCTTCATCAGAAATCCTTATATCTCTTATGTGAGTATATTTCCATGACTGCAAAATAAATTTAGAGAAGCTTCTACCTTTTTTATTCTGTGGGGGGAAGTGTGTGTGTGTGTGTGTGTGTGTGTGTGTGTGTG